AAAACTGACATATGCATATGGTTTTAAAGAATTTCCTCCTTAGAAAGAGAACTATAGGTTTACATTGGAATGCCACTTGTAGAATTAAATCCAAGTTCCTCTGAAATGCAATAATGAGCCTTGCAAAGATAATCTTGTTTCATTGTTTGTCAGCTGGGACTTGTACATATAATGGTTGCATCAGCAATCTCAAGCTTGATCTCTACTTCTGAAAAAAAAAAAAAAAAAAAAAAAAAAAAATCTGTGGATATATTTCATTAATTATTCTCTACAATACACTTAAAATCAGTAGATTTGAAAAAGTAACCTAATTGCAATTCATATCAATATTCTGGGCACTTGACCTCGGCTTTCTAAAACGTGATATTATAATTTTTAGATTCCTTCTCATAAGCATTTTCGTTATCTTTTATAATTATTATTCAGTTTAGTTTATTTGCATACGAAAAGCCCACCGAAAAAACCGTAGTTATTATAGGGCGCACTTGTATTTCACTGCGTATTGCACGGAAAGCAGAGCCCAGGTTGTGTCACGATTAGAATCTGCAGAGTGAGTCACAACTATTGGATTCAATTGCACGATGAAGGTAAAGTATAATTACTGACAAATCCGAATAATATTATGGAATTTATTAAAATAACAAATCTTGCTTACAAATAATATGTTTTGTATATCAGTAATGGCTGAACTTTTGCAGCCTCAGCTGTTTTTGACTATACAGTTTATATAAAAAAAAAAAAAATAAAAAATGAAGGTAATAAACAATGATCAAACTCAAAATCCTATAAAAATATACAAAACAGAGACCACTGTGATTTCAGGAAGGCATTCCCAGTCGACTGGTCTAATACCTTTTTCTTAATTAGGTAATTGATTTAATGCACTTGCAGGTGATAATGATAATGGTATTTTGCCTCATTGAAAAATTGTTATCCTGTTGATCGTAAAGTTAAATTGGTATTTACAAATTGGTAAAATCTTCAAATCTGCATCAGATATGTCCGACTCTGAGATATATACCAAATTCAGCGTAGGAATATACATTTGTAGGATTTGTAATTACTCATATATGCCTGTTTACTCTGAAATAATACAATTCTTAGGATAAATACTTTATATTCTGAATTTCATACTTCTTTTGTCTTTATTTCATTGCGTTTATTATCTACTATCTTAGTTATAGCCCGAATGCGGCTGGAATTTTAATGTAGACAGTAGTTTTAGAATAAAAAATGAAAAAAATATCGTAGATTTATCAAAGAAAACAAAAATAAAAATAATTTACACAATTAAAGTCGCTTGCTTGTTTGCTTTACGTTACTTTAGTAATTTTTCTATCGTGTTGGATGGCCACATCTTATTTATAAGACATTTTCGGCACTTTTAGCCGTAGGCAATGAGGAATATTTTTCATGCTATCATCTGGAACAGTTTATAAAGTCTCATAGCAAGGGACTGATCTCCACGTCCCGCAATGGAATTCAAACCAGCTACGTAATGATCTTAACTTGATCCGCTACGCTAAAAAGGAAACATTCTTACCGCTGGGCCAGGCGGTTATGGGATAGTTCAATCTGAATAACATGTAGCCTATTGTAACAGGAAATAATTATCCACATGTATCTTAAGGTCCGAAAATTGAAGTAGACAACGACTATGGACACTATTTTCTTATGGAAAATAACCTTTGAAATTGACTTTTCTGTTTAAAACTATGATTCTTATTTCCAGTGCGGCCCCATATAAAGCCGTATTCATTCCTTATTTATCATATTCATCGATGTATATTAAACTCATATTTAAGCAAATTAAAACCTTAAAAAATATCGAAATTTTAGGGTTGAATATGGAGATAACGAACAGTATTCAAGCTCAAAGTCCATTCAAACATACAAATCGGGAGCGGAACAAACACGGACCTACAAAAACATCAGAGGTGGGATCAGGTGCCAGGAAGGAGTGAACATCCCCTGCCACCCGGTCACAACCGCCGTGTGCTCCTTGTCATGATCGGGAAAAACGGAAAAATGCGTAGACAATTCAGTGTGTAAGTAATGGCCTACCAGTCAGTATGAAAAACACAGTCAGCAATTAACTTAAGGAATTGTTGTATTTGCTGACAGGGTCATTGTATCGACCATAGCACTTTCGAAATGATGACAAACGAGACTGTTCATTTCCTTGTTGCATCAATTTGTTTGTCAATAGTTTGCCTCGTTTTAGAAATTGATCATACAGTGTATGTAGAGCATGCTCTAGCATATCGAATCAATTGGGAGACAATAAACCCATAAGCAGGTGATAAGGGTATATTGCTATAAAAGTAAGGGAAGTAGAACATTGAAAAAATTAAGTCATCACGTTTATTATAAAGCTTTGTTGTTAGGTTACCATTAACGTCTTTTTCTAGTAAAATATCCAAACATGAAAAAGACGTGTCAGACTCTGTGGTATCTAACATTTCAAGCTCACTGGAATATACCGACTCGACATAGGAATGGAAGTAACAATTGTTAATTGATATATCTCAATGTTGAGTTGAAGGCCACTGCAAAGTTTGTTTTCTTCACATGTAAAAGCATTTGAATAAATTTTGCTTCATATGAATACAAAAATAGGTCTGGTAGTTATGGGGGCACAATTGGTACCTATGGAAATTCTAAAAGATTGTTGAAAGAATTGGTCTCCAAAAACATATATATAAATATTGTCAATCAGAAACTCAAGCATGTTTTTCATATCAACTTCAGAGTACTTGTGTGTACAGTCATAATGGTTTTTGACAAAATAATTTTGCAAATGAGCAATGACAAGGTCAGTATATTTACGAGTTTCATTTTTATTGAAAAAGTAGCTGTTTATGATGTCAAAAAGCCCGGGCTTTAATTTTTCGTGGTATATAAAGCCAAAACCGTACATTTTTAGTTGCGACAAAGAAGTAAATATCACTAAATATTTTTTTAATTGTGTAAATATGAACCTCACGCTGTTATCTGATTGGCTGAAAAACAGACATAGGGAAAATGATGGACTGTCTAACATGGTTATCGGATAAAAAGGGTTAAGAGTAAAATGGAAAATAAGCACTTCTTTAACCCGAATTTAGTTTAGAATCTTTCAAAGAATATTGATTGATTATGTGTTGTTTTGCGTCCCATTTGATAATTTTTCACTCATATAGAAACGTCACCATACACCGGTTAAGGGCTTCAAATTTTAGAACTATACTTGGCATTTAGTAGTGATGGTTCTTTATCGTGTCAACGCCTACCTTGACACTTGACTTCAGTCTTACAGTCTCATCCAAAAGACCCATAACTTTCACTTTTAATGCCGGGCGCTTGGCGAAGGAACAGTCACTACCTATGTTTACGTCTTAGGTTTGACTCGGCGCAGGAGAATCGGAGCCGGACCTCCCCATTACGAAGCAAACGCTCTATCACTAGGTGACCGTGACCGGTTTAATAAGTAAACAAAATGCTTGTGATACCATAAATATAAAAACAAGCTACAAGCTGATTAAACAAGATTTAAACAAAACCGATAACAATTAACAAAACAATTTAACAAAGTTTAAAATAAATTGCTCTATTTAAAATGACACTTTTCAATCGGTGAAGGACTCATCCGAAAGACCCGTGACTTTCACTTCTAGTGCCGGGCGCTTGGCGAAGGAACAGTCACTACCTATGTTTACGTCTTAGGTTTGACGCGGCGCGGCGAACGAGAATCGAACCCGGACCTCCCAATCACTGAGCGAACGCCCTACCACTAGGATACCGTGACCTAAAGACTGGTATGGTAGTTGAACGTAGAGGTTACAATAAGGAAACTATCTTTTATGAAATCAAAATAAATGATACAGGAAATCTGTATTAGGTTACAGAAATTATTGGCGTCTTTTGCACTTTAAGTTGACCTACTCCGCTAAGACTCACCGACCCCTGAAAATTTAAGAAGCCAGTTAAACTTATCGCAGCATGTTTTCGTCTGCATTATTTTACAAGAATTATCATTGGTTCAGATTACAGCTCTCAAGGTGTAATATGAAAGGTGTGACACAAATATTTTAATTTTCCCCCCATAAATATAATTACAGTCTACTAAGCATATTTTGAAATTCAAGGGACCAACACATTTTTGAAAAATTAAACGAAGTTCAAAATAGGCAAAATTGGTCTATGGAGACGTTTTAAAATCCTGCTTTCGATCTAAAACACGTAGACAAAACATAACCAATATTACAGGGTTAAATTTATGGCACTTAATGGTGAAATGAAATTGTTTGTTCATTAAAGATTTATTTGGAAAAAAGTCCGAAATTTTTCAAATTCGTTACAATTTCCTAATCTTATTCTTTTCGGTTAAACTGAAGGTTGCAAGACTTGCTTGTCCCCAAATCATTTGCTTATTTGGATTTAGACTCAGTATTTTTATCCTAAGCACACATTAATTCATTTTAGTGATCTAAAAACAGTGTTTTATATTTATTTCTCGTGATTTACCTGTTTTACACAAGCATATGTTCAAAAGCGTCATCAATACGTGATCTGAGAGAACGAGTTACGCCTCAGTTTTTTCTTTCATAATTATTCTATAAAAACATGCAGTGAAAACAAATTAGGTAAAAACATATCTTCAAACACCTTATCATCTACCACAGGTACTTGTGGACAGGACTCCCCCCCCCCCCCCCCGAATATACCCCCCGGGTCAAAAAATATTTTTATGTCTTTTTTTCATAAACTATTCTTCTAGTACACATTTACAATGTATTCCACATGAAAAATCCAAAAAATAACGCAGAATTAACGTTTTACTAAAAAATCGTACCCGTGGTATTAGAAAAATTTAATTATTAGGATATTATAGTAATATTTTTAGGATATAAACACGGAAGGAGGGAGGGAGCCGGTGAGTAAAGAATAAATATAGTAAATTATTTTATTTTGCCTTAAAATTGTTTTTAAATGATTTTCTTCTAGGCAATTAACAGAAAGGTAGTTGGATTGGTAGCTGCTGCTGTCCTTGTTGTAGTAGTTGTTCTATCCATTTCACTCACTTTATCACTGAGAAAGGATAATCAGGAGCCTAAAAACCCCAGCTCTCTTTGTAAGATTTGTTGTTATCATTATTACCAGTACTTTAAGTCTATTTTTATCAAGATATATGCAATTTAATATAAGAAACTTTTAGCATATACTGTAGAATTATCATTGTTTGTAAGGGACCAATGTTCAAGGATTCTTTGGGTCACCCTATCCACAAATCTACGTCCCAGTATTATAATGTCAAAGTATTGACTCATTGAATCTTCTGTATAAACGCGTAACCCACGAAATTTCGTCCCCACATATAACTGAAATTTTGCTTGCCAACGAAAATTGACTCCCAAGGATAAAAATGTTTCAACAGTTGTGCAAATTATATGTAACAAAATTGCTTTTAAAAATATAATTTGTTTTACCAGAGCGCACGATGTTTGTGACATCCTATATTATTTGACAATTTATTTTCAGCATCATGTCCTTCTGGGTACACAGGTCAATTTTGCGACGAGCCAGTTTGTAGAACCATGTGCCACTATGGAGACTGTGTGCGCCCAGACACGTGCAGCTGCGATCCTGGTTGGACCGGTAACGCTTGCAACCAGGCGATGTGTGATATGCCGTGCACACGGCATGGAATGTGTACAGCACCTAACACGTGTACGTGTGAGAATGGATGGCAAGGAATGACATGTGAAATGCCCTTCGCACCCGGATTTAATCCCACTAAGATATATATCTACAACATCTCAATATCCTCTACAATGGAATGGGATATAATGATGAATACTAATTCCTTCAGAAGCAATGATGATACAAGACAATTCCTTTCCAATGTCAATCTAACATTTTCTATTTCTACTGTCAAAACACAAACAAATTACTCTATAGGAATGCTGACAATTTTGAATGCAATTTGCCATTCAGATTTTGGAAACCAGACCAAAGATTTTCAAAATGCAACTTGTGACCAACACTCTGCAAAGAATTTATTGCAAACTAAGGTCATGTTTTCTCAGGACTTAACGACTGGAAAAATCATGCATGTTTATTATAATTCCTCCACCGAAGACCAGGCAATTTTCATAGCTCGTTTACTTCGCTTCATAGACTGTAAAACAGCACCATCAAATGTTGAAAGTATGGAAGAGAAATCGGCTTCTGATGGGAAGCAAATTATTTTGCTGCGCAATGGATTGAAATCTGAAATTGGGCTGCAATGCTTTAATTTTACAAGATTAGTAAAAAATAAAGAGAATATGATTACCGACCGAGAGGAGAAAAAAGTATGTTTGGGAGAGACTGGAGCACCACAAAGGATCATCATGTCAGAGTTTTATATCATTGGTAAAAATAGGAGTGAAGATGATAGGGATTCCTTGAGTGAAGACGAAATGAATTTGTCGCCGTTGCCATCTTTCAAAGGACATGTCTTTGCGGTTGGTCATCTCGTTTCAATGAAAACAATGGCAAATGATGCTTTAGAAGATGAACTAGAAAGTGCGCATCTAGATTTGGCGTCTGATAACATCAAGTCCTCCTCTATCGACGAGTTAGCTTTCAGGAAGATTTCCACAGAAAAAGAATACAAACACGACATTGTTTATCAGGATATTAAAAACGTCCTTAGACATCCATCTAAAAATCTCAGACTGTCACTTGGTCTTGCTTTGGTGAGAAAAAGTGAATCTGCCATTTCCATCATAAGGAAGATGATTTTCTCTCAAAATCTTCTAGAAAAGGAGTCGAGATCACTCCTCATAGCGATTCTTGGATCATCACAAACCTTTTCGGGCCAAAAAATCCTGATGCAAATGTTGGATGCTGAGGAGAAGGTCAAGGGCGATCATTATCTTGCCTTAGGTTCTGTGGCTCAAATGTTAAAGCCCTCTGAAGATATTATTACAATTCTCAGTAAACTAATGAGAGATGCTCTGGATGATGAAGTGAAGACTCGGGCTGTCCTAGTTCTCGGCGTACTGGGGAGCAGGGGTTTGGATAATAAAGTTATCCCTATCCTTAATAAAGAATTATTCAAGAACAATGTCACTCACGATGATAAATGTATGTTAATATCAGCTTTAGGCAATACTCACTCAGAAAAAGCGCTGCAACCTCTATCAAACTTTGTAAAGAGCAAAGATACATTCTATAAAATATTGTCTATCAGAGCTTTGAAAAATATTCCAGGGTACAAAAGTTACGAGCTTGTTTTAGATGCACTTTTAAAAACGAGAAATAAGAAAGTGGCCCTTCGATGTTTAAAGACACTCACGTCTAAGGGAAAATGGATCAGTCAGAATGACTCAGATGCAATTCTACAGATAGCTTACGGTACAAAAGATTTGGAAATACTCATTGCCATTCAAAACACGTTTCTTGGGTTACTTGAAGGTTATACAGAAAAACAGAAGCAGGATTTTCAATTCAAATTGAAGGTAATTAATGAAATCATTGTGCAACTTCAAAATCTTGAAGTACATGCTTTTGAGATAAAAAGAGAGACCCAGAACTTTGGTGTTTACTTTGATATGTCGGTGGATTCTGAAAAACGTGGCTATGAATTAGATTTCAACGGCAACTCTAACTTTGACATAAAGGTGTTTGGTAAACGTGTAAATGTCCTAAGAGCGGGTACTGACAACTCGTACGTTGACTCAGGTGTCTTTATGTCTTCAGTGTATATGATTTTGAATTTGTTCGGACATGACTACGTATTGTACATGAAATCTTGGAAATTTTCACTGAATTTGTTTACCAAAGAAGGAAATCCATGCCAACCAAATAGCGGCAATATCATGCATACTTTCCCGGAATATTTTCATTTCGGAGACCTTCTATTTACATATGGTATTCCATATATAGCCTCCATCAACTTAAAGGTGGGAATTGTTGGATCCGTTTCTTTTGGATTTGGATTTGATGTTAAAGGAAATGATGGTAACATGTTACCACAACAAGTAATTGTTATTGGAAAACCAGAGGCAAAGTTAACTGCAACTGCGAGCGCCTATACCAGCGCTGTTTTAGTAAGTGCTGGGGTAAAGGGAGTAATTGATGTTCTGACAGGAAGTATTCAAACCAATGTTGCTTTAAACTTGCAACAACGAAACTTCTGTCATTTAGTACGAGCCGAAGTGGGCATGTTACAGGGCGCATTGTTTATTTTTGCCGAAGTTGGTTTTTCCATTTTTAAAAAAACATATGAAATAGAAATTTATAATTGGCCTGGAAGTAAGGTATCAAAAACTGTATCAGAATCATTCTGTTGTGCAAATGCTTTCCAGTCACCTAGCAAAGCAGCCGTTCAAAGCTATAACTTGTTGTACCCTGCTCTCTCAAATGTTACTGAATTATCATACCAGAGGAAAATTTCTGAAGCTCTCTCAGTACTCACTTCAATTAAAACATGTATGAATTCAGTGAACAAAGATGATTGCCCATTAGGGCCGGTCCAAGGTTTATTAAATAGAGGAGTTTATATTTTTGACCCTTTGCTGTCGAAACAATTCAAGGAAAACTACGTTTTGACTACACTCCATATAATACCATTGTTGCTTGCTAATAGTGGTGATTATTACGGTTTAGATAGAAAAGGCAACATGGTTCAGGTTCATGAATATGGTAAAGTTAGACAGGTCATGTTGCCTCTTATTAATCTGTTAGCTAGTTTGATTTACAGTCCAGAAATTAAACAGGTTTATGGAGGTATAATGAAAAATCAAGTTTTACTCCAACAGCATCCAAAACGATCTTTAGTAAAATCGACTTCAAACGTATTGGATCTCCGACCATACTGTTCTAAAATGATGGCAATTTGTGCAAACATAAAAATGGGGAAAATGGACCATGGTGACACGATGACATTTACAGAGAACAAAGAAATTCAATCATTCAACGACAAGGAAGCATGCTCTGCGTTCATCAAGTCAAATGGGATCAGATATCCCTATTACTGCGAAGCTTACCCGTTCTCCTTCACACTACAGGGGGGTAGTGGAGCGACTGTAATGTCCGTCAATGTAATGGAACGGGAAGTCAAAATGGAGGCGTTCAATACTTTTATCAAATCTTCGGGATTAAAAGGGGGCGATTCTTTTGTTGTTTTAGTTTAACAGTGAAAAAAATCCTGATATATAATTTTGTTTCTATCCAAATTGTAATCCGTGTGAGCAAGCGTTTGCTTGATAATGCGACTATTATTTAGAGATTTGTTACGTTCATTCATAAATGCTTGTACCTTCATGAGTAGACATCTGAATTCTGTACAATATCCATTGTTCTCTTTACAAGTCACTAACCTAAATCCTCTGTTCTTAGTGTTTTATAACAAATGCAGATGTTGTATTATGTAGAAAGTAAATTAATTTAACGTTTTTATATCGATTATCTATTGTTATAACGTATAACTGTTGTCTCTTTTTCTCTTAACATGTATTACTTGTATTCAATTCATCATAAAGCCACTGATATATAATCACTGTATTTGTAAATTTTAATATTCCTATTTTGTTGCAAGTGAGACTTGTTCAATACAGAGGAAATTATAATGTATTCTTTTAAATTTATTTACATCCCTTCAAAATCGTCACCCTTTAAGTCAACACATACTTGAAGTATTTGATCCTATCATTACTCACTTTGGTCTTCTGTTTTTGTAATGTTTTTGTACCTTAGAAAAAAAATCTTTTTTACGCTAACAACTTTAGTAATACTTCTGCTCTTTTTATTAGGAATTTTAGCGACTTCAGCATAAGATCTTAAAATTTTAAAAATCGAATACAGAACCTCGTTTGCTGTCTTTCCTTGTTTAGCAATGGTAGGTCATTTATTTGTTTAGTGAGCCATAGTTTGGTTCCAAGTTTTCTCTCAGGTTCATAAAAATGCAATGTAGATGTCTTTAATCCTATTTTATTGAAATTTTTAATAGTTTTCGAGAAAATTGCAACGTTTTCGTTTTTGATCATCATTTGTGGGAGGTCACATCGCAGATTCTTTCCTGATTCCTAAACTTTTTTAATCTCAGAAAAGCTCCCCGATGAAATGTTCAACTTTTTTGGCAATTTGATTTACAGTCACTTTCCTGTTTCTGTCATTAATTGTTTTACTGTGCAGCTAATTTATCATAATAACTGATCTATGCCTTCCTAATTGTTTTCGATATTTTCAACTGAATCCCTTTATGCTTTATCCAAACGGTTTTGTTAGATACATAAGAGTTTCCATATAATGACACGGTTTCTTGGAAAATGTTTCTGCGTATAATATTCATTAGAAAACGATATTTGATATACGACCTGATGTTCAAAATGTTCCTTCGGGACTTCCTTTGTCTTCATGTAAACAGTGTCTTGAGGGTATTTCCAGAAATGATAGTTTCCTTGGAAACTGCTTTGGAAATTATAGTTTGTGACAAAGAGTTAATTCAATAGTATGGAAGACAAGAAACATTTCAAGAAAATTAAGTCCCATTTCAATGAAGTGAAAAAATAAAAATACATATAGTACATTTGGTGTCATTTTGTAATGAATAGTCCTCGTATTCACAAATTTTGGAAATGTTTGTACAGTTTCATAAATATATTACAATATTTACAATATTTACTTTCATCCTCTTTCAGAATAATCATGTTTATCTGAATAAATAAATAAATAATCAAATAATCAATATTAATAATCAAGTACATAAATAAATAATAAATTTTAGTTACATAATAGATTATGTCTTTTTAAAAAAATTGAGTGGAATAAGAAACAAAAATCAGAGAACTGTGGTCGAGAGCTTCTAGGTCTTATTGATTGGGATTCAATGATCTTTGAACGGTATATTACGTGATGAAATTCTTCCACTGACTAGTGCAAAAGCTTAGTATAAGGTTAATATTGAAAGGTAGGTCAAACTTTAAGGTTAGGATTAAGAAAGTAGAAAGTTTTGTACATCCTGAAAAGGTTGTCACAGGAATAATGTGCATTTAATATATGGAGATAACGAACAGTATTCAAGCTCAAAAGTCAATTAAAACAATACAAATCAGGAGCAGAGCAAACATGGACCTCTAACACATCAGAGGTGGGATCAGGTGCCATGGAGGAGTGAGCATCTCCTGCCGACCGGTCCCACCCGCCTTGTGCTCCTTGTCATGATCGGAAAAAACGGAAAAAATGTAGGCAATTCAGTGTGTTAATAATGGACTAACAATTGGGATGAAAAACGTCGGTCAGTATTTGACTAAATGATAGGTTTTATTTGCTGACAGGGTCTCTGTATCGACTATAAAACTTCAAACAAGGCTGTTAATATTTTTGTTTCATCAACTTATTTGTCAATAGCATGCATCGTTTTAGAAATTATTCATACGTAGAGCATACGCTTGCGTATCGAATCAACTAAGAGATATAAACCCCATATGCAGCTGATAAGGGTATATTGCTACATAAGTTAGGGAAGTTGACGATTGAAAAGTTTAAGTCATCACGTTTATCATAAAGCTTGGTTGTTAGATTACCATTAACGTCTTTTTCTACTAAAATATCCAAATATGAAACAGATGTGTCAGACTCTATGGTATCTTTTATTTCAAGCTCACTGGGATATATTGAGTCGACATATGAATGGAAGTAACTATTCTTTATAGATAATACGTCGTCGATATATCTAAATGTCGAGATGAAGGCCAGAGCAAGTGTTTTCTTCTTCTCATGTAGAAGATTTTGAATGAATGGTCTGCTAACAACGGGGCGCAATTGGTTCCCATGGGAATTATAATAGATTGTTGGAAGACCTGTTCTCCAAAAACTACCTAGATATTTTCAATCAGAAACTCAAAGCATCTTTTTTTATCAACTTCAGAGTACTTGTGTGTACAATCAGAATGTTTTTTAACAAAATAAGTTTGCAAATGTCCACTGACAAGGTAAGTATATTTACGAGTTCCAGTTTTATTGAAAAAGCAGCTATCTACGATTGCAGAAAGCCTGGACTTTAATTTGTCATGACGAATAGTTGTATAAAGTATTGAAAAGTCGTACGTTTTGATGTTATTGATTTTGGTAAAATTTAGTGATTTCAAATTTTCTAAACGTTTCTTGGAATTTTTAAGTATCCACGTCTGATTTACACCACTTTTCAAATATACTGTTGTGCAGTACTCCTGAAGTTTTTCTTTCTCTGCTGTGAATATTTTAGTGAGGAGAAAAGAAAAAGTCTTGGTAGAACATATACTGGAATCCGCTATGTATCTTTGTTTGTAAGGAATTTAATGGAGTTTTGGAATCCAGTATAAGCATGTTAATTCAAATATATTAAATATAAAATCGCCGTCACCTCAATTGCAAAAGCTATAGACATTTTTTCTAAAATATGCAAAACTTAAAGGTTTAAGCCACGAGGGCATTTAAAATATTTGCAAAGTTTTGTCACATATATAACACTTCTTAAACATTAAAGTTCTATATTCTTTTCAGAATGTAAGACCGATGTTTAAAATCAATCAGGAGATGAAGAGGCATAAAGACCGACGAATGAGATTGGATGTCTTTGCGCTTTCGCAAAAGCGGATGACAAAAAGAGACATGTATGACACATTATATAGAAGATTTTTCAGTTCCAAGTGGTCAAAGACTAGAACAGCTTGAGCGATTGAAAAGTATCTGTCATTCATCCATACATTCGTCTGTAACGATTTCTCTTAATACTCCTACCGGTATTTAAATCTGTCCAATAAAATTTGCTCTATGAATACTATGAAATAAGACACATTACTCATGGGACCGGATTTTGATTTCAAAGAATAGTGTTGCTAAGTTGTTATCAAAAGAGAAATTTATGTCAATTATTTCCCAAATTCTATTGTTCTTATTTTATTCCTGCTTTATATAAGCTCTCTACAATACAGATCATATTAAAAATTTTAAAATAATTCCATTAAATGATTTTAAATTTCGACGATAGGAGTTACCCTGATTACTAAAAATAGAAATGTTTTGATTACACCGATATTTAGTTCAAATTTACACAGAATATAAAGATAGCAATGAAATAGAACAAATCCTTTGCAGTAATTTATCTCCTTTCGTCTATCCTTGTGGAAGGAAAAAGAAACATAACTCCTGTTTTTCCCTAAGTGAGGAACAAGTGTTTATGAATTTAATTCAAGATGAATTGTGAACTGTACAGAACTTCAGATCCCTTAAAACACCAGAGGTGGTCTCAGTTGGACTCGGGATTGAGCAACTTTTTTATTTTTCATATACATCTTTCTTAAAATTCTTTTAGGATTCAATACTTAGTAATTTAAAGTTGATATTAAAAAGATGCTGGAGTTCCATTTCGACTTAATAATTCAACAATTTTGTAGAATTCACTTACCTACTTATTTTACCCTTTTTTAGTCTACCTCTTTTCGTGAACATATACTGAAAAACTGAAAAACTCTCAGTCAGAAATAAGTATAGGTATTTTCTTGAAATGGCCTTAAATTCGACAGTTATATATATCTGCGACATTTTATCAATCCACAATACTCATATTCATTCATAGATTTATTCGATATATCCCATTGTATTCGAAATAAAAGACACACCACGAAGTCTAACATATCTGTATCATGAGTTGAGCTTAAGAATTCCATATGGAAAAGATCTTGCTTTTGTTTTACAATTAAGGTAGTATGGGATACCTCCACGTTATGACGTATTTCCGTTTGAAGTATTGTTTTGATTTGCATGAGTGCTTATTATCGGGTCAAAATTTGTAGATACACCGTTGAAAAGAACACTCTGAAGCCTATTTCAATGCAAGTTCTCACAAGTCGGCATTTTAAGTAAAAACAGACAAAAAAATCGCAAGTATATAAATTTACTTATAATTGTACAACGGACATTTAAAAAAGCAAACCCCTGTAAAAGGTAGTTTCAACATTTCAACGTTTTGAACACTTTTAAGCAAAAGGTGTATTTCAATTGTTTGAGTAACTGTACAGCACCTTGTGTGCGGTGAAGCATGGATAAGTGCGATTACTTCACATTGTGCTCAATTATCACCAATCAATTATCACGTTAACCAGAGCTGGACTTTTTTGTTATTTAATTCAAGAAGTAACTGTTTGGTCACAAATCAGCTAGCTGTTGTATATAGTCCCAAAACGTTCAGATGAATGCAATTGCTCTGAACAAGACACGTCCTGGAAAGCGATTGTCCATGCATTGTTTTCAAAACCGCTCAAAGTTGAAAACTACAAAGTGCGATTTTTTTATGGTTGGGAAAAAATGCTCATCATTTCTAAAATAGCACCCAGGTTTTTTCAACCCTTGGAAAATAAAGAAGGATAACTCTTCCGCTCGGATCTTTTAATTCAAAAAATTTTAAATGCATTTTATATTTTCCATTTATATATATATTTTCAATTTGTTTATTTCACTTTGCTAACATATCAAGCTACATTCTTATTGTAGACTTTCATGAAATGTTATCCGTCTGTTTTCAAGAAATAAAGTTTTCCCAGTTTTTTACGCTTATTTTTTGTTGAAAATTAAAAAAAATACTAAGACATATTTCTTGTCATTTTTGTTTTTATAAACACTTTATATTAGCAAACGCCTGCCTATAATATTAAGCTTATGAAAAAAGAATTATGCAAGAAAAAAAATCGTTTTTGTATTTCTCAATAAAATAATTAAAAAATTATTAAAATTACACTTTAATATACTGAAAGGTGGGGGTATTTCAAATCCTTCTAATTTGGGTACATAAATATGTAGGAGAAGTTTCGTTTGGTATCCCATACCACCTTAATTGTTGCACGAATACTGCTTTCATTTTCAAACATCTCTTTCACATTACAGTTGATATGAAAAGAAAACAAATTTTAAAACATGGTTTTTCTCGATCTTAAAATTGATTTGAGAACTTTAAAGAAATAATTCGACGTTTTATAAAAAGTATTAGGAGTAAAACTATTTGCTTTATGTAAGTGAATCCAGGGCTTCTTAATAAAGTCAATCTTTATACTCAGAAAAAACAAGGAGAACAATTTATTATTTTGAAACTATGACAGTTCAGTATTTGTCAAAACAAACAAACAAAAAAAAAAAAAAAACAAATCAAAAAGCAACCCCCAACAAAAAAAACAACAACAAACAAACAAACAAAAGAAACCGACTGAATAAGATTTCTGTGATTTATGACAGTGCTGGAACAATAAACACAGTGATATAATTGGAATACACTTCAGTAATATCCTGATGATGCAATGACATTCTGATTATCATGTTGAGACCGTGTTCATTCTGGCACGTGACCAGATTCGATGTACTTTTCCAAACGGATAGCTTCTACATGAGTGAAGTTAAAATCGTTGACAAGAATTGACCTTGTCAATTCCTTTAGTATTTCACCGTCAATCATTTCAGTCTTGAACTTTTTTACGTGTCTTCCCAGTTTTAATTTCTTCAGCATGTTTCCAACTTCCTTCACTGACATGTTGGTTTGAGTGAACTTAACCAGTGCCACTGATTCCGTCGAGGCATTCTCAGAAGGTCCTGCCTTTTCTTCAAAACTTTTGGTAATTTTTGTGTAGGACGAATTTTGTCGACGAGGTATGTCCTTAATTTTGGTGTAGTGTTCATACAATTCTTCTTCATTCTTATCATCTGCTTTTAGTTTGAGGGATCTCCCACGTGCTGGTACAGGTGGTGCTGGTAGCCTCTCCCCAGTGTCCCCATAAATACCGGTAGGAAATACATTGTCACTACGAACAACTTCCTTTATCTCCGGATCAAGAATATTGTATTTCTTTATTCCTAAACGATTAAAAATCAACAGATAATTCCTATTCAGTGGCATAAAATTCAGATCATTTGTGCTATCAATTAGTCGATGAGAAAGAATATCGTATATTAATGTGCAATTTCCATTACTGGAATACACGATAAGATTCTAATGCCACGTTTGATAGAATTTTACTTTAATCGACCACAATCTATCCGTTATTTGAAATTTGTAGTGAAATTGTCTTCAGTTTTTCATTGGAATATGAGAGAAAAAGCAGTTAGCTTACTGAGATCACAGTTGTCCTCTGGGTAGGTACAATTTTTCTCCACAAAGCTGTCCAGTTCTTTAAGGAAATTCTGGAATTCTTTGTCTGATTTATTCTTGTAGCCAGTGATTTCTGTTACAGAAATCAGAGGACTTAGAGCAACAGCTGCCGTGTCCTTACCTATCTTGTCTGAAATTTAAACAAATATACAGATAAATACAGGTGTTCCCCAAAGATGGCCTTAATAAAAGGGCCAAAAGCTACAGCTTGCGTGCTTTTTTCTATCCTGTCTGAAAATGAAACAATTAAGTCCAGGTCAAAGGTTAAAGCTGAGGCATCTGCAGTTTTAATTCTTCATACTATTAAAAAAATGTTTTATTTTCTTTTGGAGGAGAAAATATTTTTAAAAAATTCTGCATGAGAAGAAAAGTCTTGCTGGGTCTAGATTTTTAAAATTTATATATAATGTCAACGTTTAATCAACTAAAGATAATTACTTTCATCTATATGTCCAATCGATATATTCCAGCTGTAAACTTGAAATTAAAAAAAACAGAGTACGTCACATCTTTTCATACTTTTTCTGACTACAGACGTTTATGGCCAACTAACTACTATACACAAATGATGAAAAAGCGACTTTAATCTTTCCATCTTCAACTTTCCTGATTTATATTTCTTTACTCCTCACTAAGATATTAACAGTAGTGAAGGGGAAACTTCAAGAGGACTGTGCAACAATATATTCGAGAAGTGGTGTAAATCAGATGTGGATACTTAAAAATTTCAAGGAACTTTTGGAAAATTTGAAATCACAAGACTTACGACTTTTCAACTTTATGCACAACCATTCCTCACGATAAATTAAAATCCAGGCTTTTTGATATCATTGACAGCTGCTTTTTCAATAAAAATGGAACTCGTAAATATACTTACTTTGTCATTGGTCATTTGCAAAATTATTTTGTTAAAAAAGATTCCGATTATACACACAAGTACTCTGAAGTTGACATTAAAAAGATGCTTGGGTTTCTGATTGACAATATCTATGTGGTTCTTCCAACAATCTATTGGAATAACCATGGGTACCAATTGCGCCCCGTTATTAGCAGACCTTTTTTGTATTCATATGAAGCAGAATTTGTCCAAAATCTTATACGTGAAAAGAAGAAAACACTTGCTGTGGCCTTCAACTCGACATTTAGATATATCGACGACGTATTGTCAATTAACAATGGTTATTTCCATTCTAATGTCGATACGATATATCCCAGTGAGCTTGAGATAAAAGATACTACAGAGTCTGACACATCTGTTTCATATTTGGACTTTCATACTTGAAAAAAGACGTTAATGGTAATCTAACAATAAAGCTGTATGATAAACGTGATGACTTTAACTTTTCAATCGTCAACTTCCCTTACTTATGCAGCAATATACCTTCATCACCTGCATACGGGGTTTATATCTCTAAGTTGATTCGATACGCAAGAGCATACTCTGCGTGTGTGCAGTTTCTAAAGCGGGGTAAATTATTGACAAACAAGTTGATGAAACAAGAATGTCAGCAGTCTCGTTTAAACTCATCCTTTAGTAAGTTCTATGGTCGATATAATGACCTTGTCAGCAAATACAATTTATCATTGAGTCAAATGCTGACTGACGTTTCTCATACTGATTGTTAGGCCATTATTTACACACTGAATTGTCTACGGATTTTTCCGTTATTTCCCGATCATGACGGGGGCACACGGTGGGTGTGACCGGTCGGCAGGGGATGCTCGCTTCTCCTTGGCACCTGATCCCACCTCTGTTGTTTTGTAGGTCCGTGTTTGCTCTGCACCTATTTTGTAATGTTTAATGGACATTTGAGTTTGAATTTTGTTCTTTATCTCCATATATTTCATATGGTAATATTCCTCTTTTTAGTCGTATACGGTGATTTGTCCCCCAAATCGGTATACCGATCATGTTCCGAAATTCTTAACACCTAGAAAATTTAGATTTATCTTAGAAAACCTAAACCTCATTACTCACAAATTTGCAAACATAACATTTGTTCGACTTACTCAACTATATCCTGAATATAAATAGAGTTTTTAGAGAGGACACTAAATATATATTTTGACAAAGAGCAGACGGCGGGTTTGTCTGCTCTCTCCTCCATGGCATCTAATCCCAACTTTATGAACGATTTCAGCTCTGTTCTCTCTGACTTTGTGAACGATTTCAGCTCTGTTCTCTCTGACTTTGTGAACGATTTCAGCTCTGTTCTCTCTGACTTTGAGCATGATTACTGTTCGTTAATTATTTTTCATTGGAGAAATAGGATTTATATAAACTAGCTTTGGAACATTGTTGAAAGAGGGATTTTAAATTCATTTGGAAAGTGCTTTAATTATAAATTCTGATATAAATGTATGTCTTTAAATTGATTTGGTTTCCCAATCTACCGACCCAATTTCTGGGGGAAAAGTCCTGAAAAAAAAAAAAAAACTTCGAAAAAGTGGCCCGATATTGGATTGAAATTTATAATGTAACATCTATAATCATAAAGCCATTAATTGTAAAGATTTAAGAAAAACGCTTTCTTAATTTTACCAACTACATGTACCCCCTCACGCAGAATGCGATAATACTTAAGTGGTTTACACTGAACGGGAAGAAGAAGAAGAATACGTTATGAAGCAAGGAAAGTCTACTTTTAATGGGAAAACCCTCGGATTTTTATTTTACTATGTCTGTTTAATGTTTGCATAAATGTATAGTTTAATTGCTGTATTTAATGTATTTTTACGATTTTGCATAGCCGCTTTTTTACTTCTTTATAGATTTTGTTTGAGTTTATGTCCGATCATTATAATCTTATTAAGATACATTCACTTCTCAATAATGTGCTTTTCTGTCTGCTAGAGATATTGGATTTCAAATCACTCTTCTACTTCAGATACAAAGAAAGAAATTTATTTAATAGAAACGATATAAAATGGTTTGGATATACTCTTAGATAGTAAATAGATATATACTTGGTTTCTGGTTGCCCTGGATTAATCACGTTATACTTACGAGAAGATTACATGGACATATCATAAAGCAGAGACATATCATATGAATCACGGACATATATAAAGCAGGGACATGTATGAAGCATGGACATATCATATGAAGCATGGACACATCATATTAAACAGGGACATGTCATATAAATCACGGACATATCATATAAAGCATAAATCCTTAAAAAAATCTAAACTTCATAGTTGTGGGAAAAAATGAAGACAGACATAATAATCAGGAGGTAGCTGCGGAGTTGTGGAATATTTAAAAAGCTGAAAACAGACATACTAATTGGTAAGTTGTTGTAGAACGTTTATAGGGTATAGAATAGAAACATTATAATCAGTTAGTGATTGTAGAATGTTCATATACTAATCACAAGTTAAGGTATGTATGTAGATCAGAAAACAGACATACCAATTAGTAAGTAGTTGCCCTGGATGAAATGTTCTTCGTGTGTTGCTATAACAAGGAATGAGGCCGGACTCCCGTCTCGGTTTTTGCCGGCGTCAGGAATCGGCTTGTCATTAGAAAACTGAATCAGTACCGGAAGTTCTCTTGACTCTAGGACCTCATTCATTGTCATTGAAGCACTCTCTGTACAAATTGAATATCGTCAGGATAAATAATTCATTAAATTTTCATTTTATGTGAGTGAAAACAAACATTTAGAATGTGTAAAATAAGACATCATGTTTTTAAAAGAAGCAAAATCCGAATTCTTGAATAACAGTTCTGATCAGCCTAAGATATGCAGAAAGGATTTTTTTCACAAAGTTAGCCCTTTAGCTATAAACAGTTATGTAATTTTGATAAAGAGAAACTTTCCCTGGATCTTTTGAAGGATCTTTGGCAAACATGCGGTCAAGCGATGGCTTATTTATGAAAGTAGATTAAAAATAGATTTACAATTAAAGTTAATATATATATATATATATATATATATATATATATATATATATATATATATATATATATATATATATATATATATATATATATATATATATATATATATATATATATATATATATATATTAACTTTAATTGTAAATCTATTTATATATATATATATATATATATATATATATATATATATATATATATATATATATATATATATATATATATATATATATATATATATATATATATATATATGAACATTTATGACATGTTTATGATTTACATCCAATATTTTAACCAAAATGTTTTTTTCAAAGTTTTGTATGATTTATGACGTTATATTTACATTTTCAATGTCTTTGTCCAAGATAAAATTACAAATTGTAAAAATACTTTATTTCTACATAAATCTACTGGTTCATCGATAGGCGCGGTTAAAAAAAAAACCACGTGCGGGGCGGGACAAATAGAGACAGAAGCGGGGCTATTAGCACGGGAATTTGCAGAATCAGGAGCATGTAAATATAAGGAATAACTGTCATTTTTTTTTGGATTCATGACGATGATCAATCGATTGGCTTGCGTGATAATTTTATGCATAAACGCCTTCGGCGTTTATGCAAATTATCACGCAAGCCACTCGATTGATCACATCATGAATCCAAAAAATAAGACAGTTATTCCTTAATTCAAAACGTTTTGTGTGATTTATGAGCATAGTTTTGAAGGAATTTATATTACACTATTTCTGAAAAATATTTACACTACCATAACTTCATCGACTTTCAATTTTAGATTTTAAAGCACACAGCGAATTGCAGAGATCTTTGGACAAATATTCTTAAGTGTTAATATCACAAGGAAGAAATAAACAGTTGAAAGTACAAATCAAATATTGATCCCTTGCGTATGCAACATAAATCATCCATATCATCCATTTATTTTGAAAAGATTGATTTCAAATCATTCAAATACTATTATAAAATTGCTCGTGCATTAATACAGCTTTTTGTTAGTTTTGCTTACTTTTTAACAAATGCATCTGATAATCATTAAAAAGATTCTGTTTAAAGAACTTACGAGAAAGAAGAAACTACAACTTTACTAACCCTAACCCTAACCCAACTTTACTACCCATCAGAAACTTTTAACATCTATACAGTTCTGTAAAAGCAAAGCAAGAAAAAAAAATCCATGGCTGCAGAGGTACATCAATGCATAGATTTCATGTTTTGAGCACAAAAATTAAACTCTTTCTTTTAAAAATATGACCTGGCAGTTGAAAGACTTACGTTGTGTTCGAGACTTGACTAGTTGAAACCGGAAGTTGCCATTGACAGGTATGCTGAGGTACTCCAGTTTGATGTCATTGGCTTCTGTTGGTTCTCTCGCTAAAACTCGACGAACAGAGTGTGTACTGTGAAACCTCATGACCTTCATAAACACAACTATACAATATAAGATCTGGTCATACCTCAACATGACCTGATTAAAACAACTACATGTATACAATATAATATTTATCACAACTCAACATGATCTAATTAAAACAACTATATAATATAGATTTATCACAAAACAATATGACCTAATTAAAATAACTATACAATATAAGATTTATCACAACTCAACGTGACATAATTAAAACAAATATACAATGTAAGATTTATCACAACTCAACATGTATTAACACAGAAAAACATTACGAAAATATCAACTGCAGCTTTAATATGCCTGTGTTATCCCTACAAATAAAATATGTAGTCCAAATTTTTATTCTAAATAAATGTTTTTGAATTTCTTTTGATTCTTTTTGTGTCTTTAAGTACTTCCAAATGCAGACATAAGCATTTGGTCAAATCTATATTAGCGTTTAAGATCTAGAGTAAACATGTCTTTTACCTGGTCTGTAGATATTTCATCCCATTTTGTTTGACCATAGTTTCCACCACTGACGATGATTAGCATAGGTAGGTCATTTTTGCGCTGGTTGTAGAAGTCAGGGAGAGCTAATTCCTTAGAGACATCAAAATTAAAAAGCTGATACACCGACCCAAAGTCTTCCTCTGGTTCTGAAAATATCAGAAGAACAAACTTTATACCAAGAAAAAGAGAAAAAAAATGGTTAGATAGGGTCCAAAGGCCAGATTCTGGTTCCTGGCTCTGATAAACGAAAACACTATTCAGTTTTTTGGTCCCTATTCGATTAATTCCCTAATAGGAGATTATATTAGATTTAAGGGAGAAGTGATGCACTGTCCAGAAGTCGTCCAATTTTGATGAAATTGAATTTGTGTTATAAAATGTACAGTTTTGAATTCAAAAAATATTTATAGTTTGGGCTCAATGTAAACATTGGATCTTATAAAATTCTAAAGCATTGACTTAAAGACATAGTACCAATATATAAAAAATGATTGTGTCCAATGTCTCTCATTAATTTAAGAATTTGAATAAACCAAAAAATGTTTAGTAATCAGAATGCTAAATGTAAAGGTATGTGGTTCATCCGAAACAAATTGATATCGAGCAAAATAAGATGACAAAGATGTAACAAATATATGAATCACTAGATTAGATTGAATCACAATGTAAGCATAAATATTGTTACACTCAATGCAATTCGAAACATGCACTTCAGGAAATCATTATTTGTTGTCCTAAAATAAGAATTAGAAAAAGACTAAGTACATCCTTTTCCATTTAACCAAACAAAATGTACATGATGATAATTGTTTCAGTATTATTAACAAATATTTTGAGAGAAATGTATGGAGATAACGAACTGTATTCAAACTTAAAGTCCATTAAACAATATAAATTTTGGAGCAGAGCTCTGCACCTATATTCCTGGCAATTTATTTGGCATTTATTAGTTGTTTAGATTTAATTTGGAATTTTAGGCCACATTTTATCTTGTGAATGTTTCTGTCAGATAGATCATTTATAAAATAACAGAAACTAATGGCAACAATCATAGAAATCATAGAAATTGAAAATGTATATGTGTAAGATCCTTTCGAAATACAAGGGCCATTGTTCTTTAACGAATATGCTCTTTTGCTGTAAATGTGTAACTGTCTTTTTATATGATGATATAAATGAGGTTTTAAAAATGCCACACTGCTACATTTCTCATGTCTAATTGTAAACCTACCTATTGAGAGATTAACTGCATTTTAAAATCTTTTTCAATCTATTGTATATGTTTTTGTTCAAGTACGGTATGTAGTAATTAAGTTGCGCCAAGGAAAAGTCATTTACATATATTCCTGTTCATTAAATGAGTGGACCAAACTCATTTACATGTATTGCGATCTCTCAAATCCGATTATGTAACAAAGAATTGTTATAGACACACATAATGTAATGAATACTTATAAATAAGAATGTTTACTCAAGCCTGAATTGATTTGCCTATTTGAGCAAATAGGACCCTGAAATAAATGTTTTATCCTTATGTAACATATTATAACCACCTTTACATTTTATCAGGGAAAGGAAGAAAATTATTAACTTTTAAGTTGAAAAGAAGGAAATGTTATATTTTAAAAGTATGCCAGACATTTCATTGGAGGTTTATATTTGTTTGAATAAAGTCGTTCAACATTTTCCTCTTTACTTTGTATTCATTTTTAGAAGTAGTTGTAAGTAAAAGAAAATTGGCTGCATTATCAAGGTCCTATACAACATTTAGATATAAAACCGCGTTATTGTTGTGATACATTTATTAAAACACGATCTTGTTTATCTCTCAGTTCTTCCTAGGATTAGCCTTCTAATGAAAGGTATATCCCACAACACTAAGTAAGAGATAAGACAAATGAGGATAAAATCAGGTGTTAGAAAATCGTTCGTTTATTTACGATGTTGCAATGTCTCAAACATTTAAATGAGAGAAAAGCATCACCTCAAAGTGAAGCATGGCCACTGCCTCGTTACTCGAGCTCAATTTTTAATATAAGTTTCTTGAAATGAATTTTTTCAGGTTTTCACAACATTAAATAACTTCAAAACGAGACTATGACCTCGGCATCTTATCTTGCTCGTTATCTAGCATCTCTGTATCAAACATGAGACTGAAGAATCCCATGGCAAGCTTTCAACTATAATTCATTGCTATCATGCTGGCAACTCCAGTTCATCACTATCATGCTTACAGCTCTAATTCATCACTATCATGCTTACAACTCTAATTCATCACTATCATGCTTACAACTCTAATTCATCACTATCATGCTTACAGCTCTAATTCATCACTATCATGCTTACAACTCTAATTCATCACTATCATGCTTACAGCTCTAATTCCATCATCACTATCAAGCTTACAACTCTAATTCATCACTATCATGCTTACAGCTCTAATTCATCACTATCATGCTTACAACTCTAATTCATCATAATCATATAAACGGAGTTTACTGTAGTCAAAATAAATATAAAAACAATGGCCTCACCATTGGTGTAAAACATGTCAGCCAAAATACGACAATGTTCTGGTAAATCTGCGTACGTACATGTATGTTGTCACGTGCTGTTATATATGTGTGCAAGCATGTTGTATTGTGCTGGTATATCTGAGTGCTGATAACTTATATTGTGCCAGTACATCTGTTTGCTGATGGATTGTATGTGCTGGTAAATCCGTGCTCTAACTGTGTTGTGCTGCGTTCTATTGCGTCACTGTATTAGGTATATAGTAAACGTAGAGCGTACAAGCTTCTGTTGTGTTTCGATTTTCATATTTCGATGTTCTACTTCGTTGTTTTTGCAATTTGCATTTCAGCAAACTTATTCCTGTATACTAAATTCAAGGGTTTTTTTTTTTATTCAACTGGGTACACAAGTTCTCTCTCTCTCTCTATGTTTACTAATGATAAAGCTCTGTGATAATGAAATTTTAGATTTACGATATAAGATAAAAATAGCATTATTATTTTTTAAAGTCACGATGTATAAGAAATGGCAAGGTCAGAAGAAACTGCGAATTATTCCATCTACCTGATCAATACATAGGGCTTGCGGCTGATGTGACCGGTCGACCGTGAATGCCTATCCCCCTTAAACACCTGATCCGACCTCAGGAATTTCCGGGGGCCCGTGTTTTATCCCCTGTTCACAGATTTGTATTGTTTGTAGGTTTTTTGAGATTTATCACCCTTAACTTTTCCTATTTCATGAATAGGTTTCTTGATATACGTAGCAATAGAAAGTGTTCTCAGTTCTACCAAACATCTGAAAAAATGTAAGTTTATGTAACAATGTAAACAAGCTATACATACCTTCCATTACCGACCTTTCACGTCCTTACTTTGGGTGTACATATGTAACAACCATTATCACAAGCAGGAAGTTTAATTTGTATTGGATCACTGTTATGTCACACATAACCAAGATCCATAGAAATTTAAACGACAGGAGAAATAAAACCCTAGCATTGGTTGTTAAATTGGATCAACATGTACTTACACAAGGATGAAATGGTGTTAAAAAAAGATAAATGTGACTAAATGTACCGTAGAAGTTTGTTCCAAATTTAAATAATCGTCAACAAATTATAGTCTTAGTCATTAATTTTAAAAGGTCCTAAATATTGGGAACCCCAATCCTTCAACTGGCGTAGGAATTTCATAAATATTATGGATTCTGTAGAGGATTGCGCCAAGTGATGGGCCAGACATGAAAAAGAAGACCTTGACACTTTGTCAGAATGGATTAAATGTATCAGATGTATGTTAAAATCGCGCATTAAAAGATTGAGGGGCAATATGAGAACCATCTATCCTTCTGTATTCAATAATCCAGAAGTGAAAAAAGAATTAGATAGGTTACATGATCAATATGTACTGATCCCTGCTGACAAAGCAGGTAACAACATTGTTTTTGTTTGTAAGTCTCATTATATTAAATATATTTTAGAGGTAATTGGATTTAATTCTACAAGTGGTAATCCAACTTATACTTCTCTTTCTAAGGAAGAAATTCTTCAAAATCATATGTCAGTTTTGAATATTTTTAATATTCCAAACAACCAAAATAAATTTGAATTACCATATCTATATTGGATTCCGAAACTTCATAAAAATCCTTAAAAACAAAGCGGGTTCCAGTAAATGTTCAACCAAGCCTCTTTCTTTATTCCTCACTAGAATATTAACAGTAGTGAAGGAGAAACTTCAAGAGTATACTGTGCAACAATACATTCGAGAAGTGGTGTAAATCAGAAGTGGATGCTTAAAAATTCCAAGGAACTTTTGGAAAATTTGAAATCACAAAATTTTCCCAAAATCAATAGCTTAAAAACTTAAGACTTTTCAACTTTATACACAACCATTCCTCACGATAAATTAAAGTCCAGGCTTTTTGATATCATTGACACCTGCTTTTTCAATAAAAATGAAACTCGTAAATTTACTTACCTTGTCATTGGTCATTTGCAAAATTATTTTGTTAAAAAAGATTCTGATTGTTCACAAAAGTACTCTGAAGTTGACATTAAAAAGATGCTTGAGTTTCTGATTGACAATATCTATGTAGTTTTAAGAGACCAGGTCTTCCAACAATCTATTGGAATTCCCATGGATACCAACTGACAAACAAGTTGATGAAACAAGAATATCAGCAGTCTCGTTTAAAGTCATCATTTCGTAAGTTCTATGGTCGATACAATGACCTTGTCAGCAATTATAATTTATCATTGAGTGAAATGCTGACTGACGTTTTTCATACTGATTGTTAGGCCATTATTTACACACTGAATTGTCGACGGATTTTTCCGGTATTTCCCGATCATGACAAGGAGCACAAGGCGGGTGTGGGGTCGGCAGGGGATGCTCACTCCTCCATGGCACCTGATCCCACCTCTGATGTTTTGGAGGTCCGTGTTTGCTCTGCTTCTATTTTGTGTTGTTTAATGGACTTTTGAGCTTGAATACTGTTCGTTATCTCCATATATTTCATGCAGAATATATTATTAGTATTATTTTATTTTCACGCAACAAATGAACTATACAGAATTCACTATAATCTAGCTTTACTTGAAAAAAAAAGTAGACGAAAAGGTTTTAATTTTAAAGTCTGTGAAATTGCTTTTTTAAGCAAAAAATAAATCTTAAAGAATTATTATGGAATAATTTGTGAAGATAAGGAATGGTGACAATAAATGAATACTTATTTCTCCTAGGTATCTGATCCTACCTCTGGTGATCGATTCCCGGTATCTGTTTTTCTGCCTGTTCATGAATCGTATTTTACAGAATTTCCAAGGTTGATCACTGTTCGTTAATGTCTTAACTTTTATTCACTGCGTATGTATATGTATTTTAGATTCAAAAAGAAAAAAAACCCTAATTCTTTGTCTTGAATTTTCTTCAGGTTGCTGATAACGATAGTTTTTCAAGAATACACATGATGTTCCTTTTATATTCTATATCACAGTGCATAAATTCCATTTCAGCATTAAAAGTTATTGCCTTCTAGAGACCATGCTACACGGTTTTCAATAAAATTCATGAATGGGATGCTAGTATACTAAACGCATAATAAGCCATTTTGTATTCAAATAAGGTAAAGATATAATTATGTAATCATATCTTGGTCGTTAATATAGATATCTCAGTGAGAATATATTCCTATTTTCTTTCTAAAAACAGTTCTTCATTTTTTCACCCACAGATTTTAAAGAACGCTAACATGTGTTTATTCCCTTTTGAAGTAGACGGGAACCAAGATATTTGCTATCCCTGGATCTCTGTTCAGTAGAATATATACAAGCAGTAATTGTTTATTGTCGATTATTCCAGTATTTGCATAACCAGTATGTTAAACCTTTAAAATTCGCAAAAAGCCTATTGATAGATTTAGGAGTCTAAAAGAGTACCAGATAATATTGGATACCTAATAGATCAGTGAGTCTTTAAAGGTCCTTAAATACATTAGTATAGTATGTCGTGTTAAGTGAGAAGTAGACATAGGACAACTTTTGATCTGCGGTATTATTGCAATATGTATTTGACACATCCGTTGTGATGTTAAATGTAATTCATTCGCAACGTGATATCTTGTGTGTCATCGATATAATTTTGAGATGAAAGTCATACATTCAGAAAATACGGTGGGATCATTTAAATTCATTGGGGTCAAGGTTTGTGGGAAGCAAAAACTTTCATGTTTCATTGGGACGTTATTCCGTAGGTAACTCGTACATTAAACAGATCAAATAAACCCAAACGTTGACATCGTTATCGTCCACGAAGATCTGAATTCGTGGATAAGGCTGATCGACCCGTAAAATCCATGAACATTGATCCTCCACGAACAATGATGATTTCACAGTTACCTGTAGAGTGCACAATGCGCTAAAATTACAGTGACTCGGTTTTGGATTGGAGAACCTTAAAGAGTATACAGAGAGCCTAATTATAGGATAAGAAAGGAGGTATAAGGAGGAAGGATTCTTAGGCATTAGTTTGTTTGATTTTATAAAGAGCAAGACATGCATTTATTTACTGAAAACAGTATTCTGTTTTCCACAAATTATGTATAGGTGCATTTTCTTTCAATGTCATAATAAATTTGTATTTATTTGTCAAACATTTGGCTCACATATTTACAATGACGTTGAAATATTTAAATCAGCTGTTCTATTATACTATAGTAAAATAATCATTACAGCACTAAACCGTCTTGTGATTTACATTGTATCAAAGACAGATAGTCCTAACATCCTTGTTCAAAAGATTCCGATTCGTTATATTGCTATATGGTCTCTACCAGTATAACCATATTATTATAGCCTCATTATAATTATTCTATACAACGCGTAATCTGATTGGTTCTAGATTATCACGTGAAAGGGCCATAAAACTTCATATTTCCCTGTCTTTGTCATGCTTTTCATCATATTCAACCTCTGCGGAAACATGGTGCATTTTCCCGCAATAGTTATAGTTCGTTGAACGAAAACTCCCGAGAGTAAGTAAGACGTCACAATAGCCTGATTCACGTCACAAAATTGCTGATGGACTTCTGTAAATTGCTTCAGTAATACTACGTTAAAATTGAAAGTGAATTTAAGAGCGGGGCCGAATTTGAAAGTTTATGTTTATTTTTAAAGTTTTTGCCTGTTTCGGTATAATAAACAAATTATTGCATGAATGTTCGGGAAACATGAAGATTTATTAAGCCAAGAAATATAATTTCGAGAAACAAATATAGCTTACCCTTAGTATTAACCAGTCAATCATATTAGAAATAATGTTTAATACTGAATGTTAAATTACTGTATGTGTACTTAAAAAAGTGGGATTCATATTTTAGCGGCTTTGGTGCAGCCAACGATGCACTAATTCATTAATACCGCTAAGAAATCATTTATAAATACAATATACGGCACGGACATGTTTATCGCTAATTGATGATTTCGCCAACAACTCCATACCCAGTGATTGCGCTAAATTTTGAATACGCCAATTTAAGTACACATACAGTATATTGTCAAATATTGACAGCTTTACTCATAAGCGAGCAAGGAAAATATCAAATTGCAACTCTTAATTATTTCATTTCTCAACTTAAACAAATTTATTAATACCAAAGAGAAAATAAATCTGAATTTAATAAGCCAGATATCATTTTAAGGCTGACTGGAGACAATACTAATATATCTTTAAGTCCCAGTATTCCTAATCACAATTTCGACACACAAATTATCTAAATTTTAGTGCTGCCTGATGCAAAAAAGGAAAATATTGCTGACATCAGCATCTCTTCCATAATTTCCTACATTTCCTAAAAATACTACCAATTCTTTGTACAAAGGTACATGTACATACTATAAAATATAAAAATATTATTTTGTTTAGTTCGGAATCATACAAACAGCAAACAGACCAAATAAACAAATGGGACAAAAAAGACGTCTGTCCAACATATATGTAAGCGTTGGAAATGATTTGAGAAAGAGACGTGTTCACATTGGAATGTGGCCTTGTTCGATAAATTTCCTCAGTCTAATAGCTTCTGTCTTTGTAAAGTTATAATCTTCTTTAAGATCCGCCACAGTGAGATCTTGGACAATTTCACCGTCTATCATGTCCTCTGAAAATCGGTCCACAAATTTATCAAGCTTTAGTTTTACTAGGATTTCTCCAAGTTCTTTAATGCTCTTTCCAGACACGTGGTTTGACATACAAGGTGTTTGAATATTTTCCTCTGCAGGAGCGATTCCAACACTCATATCCTTATGGGCCTCTTGTTTTGAAATGAAATAATTGGGATCTGGAATGGCGTAATCATACACTCGCTGTACTCTGGGAGTTTCAATCAATTTCATTGGTTCTCGGTTGTCTATATTTTTTGGAACCCTTACTTTCTCCTTCATTTGTGGAATAGGAAGTTTTTCTTTAATTTCTTCGTACTCATTACTCTCATTGTCTGAATCTTCTGCCCTTGGTTCTGAGAATGGTCGTACCTGACACAAAACGTCATTTACGTAACCAGGTTTATTCGAAACTTCAGGCTTTGAAGACCCTGGTTTCTTCTCTTGCGTGATCTCTTCATAGTCTTCGCCATAGATTTCATCATCGGAGTCACCACCGACTGGAGTCTCCGTGAAACCTGGTACCTCCATGGTAATTGTGGATTTTTGATTAGATTCAGAGAGTGTTTCACTAACTTTAAAATTCTCAGATTCTTTCGCTTTCATTGGCTCTTTGTGATTTTGGGTGATCTGTCGATTTGGAGGACGTTGACTTTGTTTAATATTTTGTGTCTTATCAAGCTTTGGTTTTGCAGACTGGACTTTAATATCCTTACGTTGTGGAAGAGCTGGAGCTGGCCCTGTGTCTCTGTCAGGTTTTTTGGGAATAATATGAGAAATCTCTGGATCAGACGCCTCGTAGACTTTTACACCTGTTTCAAAGAAATTATCTCTTCATAATATGGTCAAAGCAAAACTTATAACTTATAATTTCTATCGCCAACTTTTCTTATTTATGTAGCTATATGCCATTATCACCAACAGATATTGTTTATATCTTCCAGTTGAATCATTAAGCTTGAGCATGGGTATGGACAATTTTTAAACAGAGGCAGACTTCTGACAAACAAGTTCATGTTACAAGGTTATAAAAATATTTCTTCAAAGTTGACATTTCGTAATTCTATGGTCGATACAATGAGTTTGTTTGCAAATACAACTTGTCGTTAGGTTGAATATTGAGTCATATTTTTATGCACCAAATTGTTGACACCATTCTTTTCATACTGATTTGTCTTCGGATTATTTCATTTACCACATCAAGACAAAGGGTCCATAACGTGTTTGATTATTTGACGTGGGGATGTTTCAAGGAGTCCTTGTTTTGTCTGCTCTCTATTTGTAATGACTTTTGAGCATGCTTACTGTTCGTTATTTTCACATTTTATATATGTTATCTAAATTCTTTATCTTTTTTCATGTTGAGAGTATAAAAAAAGCAGAAGACCCAATAATATAATTATGTATTACTTGACATACACCGATACACGTCCAAATTCAACAGGGAGACATGTACAAGAATTTATTTAAGAAATAAGGTATCATTTTTAAACTTATATCGGGATGTAAATACGGATTGGTCAAGTGATCAAATCCAAAGAAGCCCGACAGGCGCGATCAAAGTTTTAAAATGATACCTTATTACTTATATTAACATTTGTGACTGATTTTTAACAAATATTTTGGTACTTTAGTTTTAAAAGTAGAAAATGATTTATTTTTTTCAACCTTCAACGATACGAATTAAATGCATAAACCACGTCGACCACTTATGGCGTCACTATGAATTTACCTCGATCGTTTATGACTTCACAATGAATTTATGTAAGGGAAAACATTTGCAAATGTAAATATTCATTCAAGCTTCATAACTTAAAACAAATAATAACTTCTCTTTCAAATTTTCGCTGGTCAGTCTCTTACCCAGATTACATGTGTTCTCGGAGAATTTACTTTTTTTGTAAACGTAGTCACTCATGCGTTGTAGGTACAGATTATATTCTTCCTCTGTTTTGTCCTTCAGTCCGTGGACAGGTGCCATGGTGATGATTGGGCATAGTATGACAGATGCCGTCTCCGTAGCGATGACCCCATGGTTGTAGAAATTACCTTGAAGGTAAATGTCTTCTTGTCGATACTCTATCAAGAAGCTGATCAGCGTTCCGGTCGGACTCATCTGTCCTTCCTTCGGAACTTCTCCTCTTGGAGAAAACTGTACAAGAATGGGTAATGGATTTTGCTCTAAAATCTCTGCCATTGTTTGATCCTGACTTTCTGTATTTAAGAAAAACTGATGATACGTCTTTCTTAAAGGAATATATCTTCGGGACTTTTATAAACTCATAATTATGCATAGTTCAAAATTGTTGTGCATTTATCAAAATTATGATGCATTTGTGAATTTGTCTAAATAATCTCCATTTCATATCATTATTTCAGTCTTTTTTTGAGAATCTACTGCAAACAGATTTATTTCCATCTATAGCATCATTAAGCACCAAAATTAATTAAATTCGTTTTCATCCATCGCCATCTACCATACGTAACCCTTTTTACAGATTGGATTGTTCAAATGATGACCATAGCTAATTCCACAGGGGGGAAAATTGAGAAATTGTGAAAACCAGGATTCAGCCAATAAAAGAAAAAGACGAGGACAAAAACAGTGATCGATCTCAAAAAATCTACAAACAATACTTCACAAAAAAAACTTCACAAAAACCACCGAGTCAAAATGATCAAATTTATTTGGAATCTCTCTGATAAGGTGAAATTTCAGATTTGTGCAAATAAATAGTCTCTTAAGCCTCGATGGATCGAAGGATCCAATTTTTTGTTTTACTTTAAAAAAGAAATAGACAAAATCTTGGGCTTCTTGTCTTTAGGGTGTTCCAATTTTAAAGGTGATTCTCTTAAACTTGGAAATGTTACATAATATTGCTTTCCAATATAGACTTAATACATTTAACTAAGTAAAACTAGAGAGTTAGAATGGGTATAATTTAGTATATTGATACATGTACAGACCCTGAAACGTGCTACTACCCCAAAAAAGCGTGTGACTTTCGTGCGCTTTTCCTTTCGTGCAAACCGTGTAGCGTTTCGTGTAAACCGTGCAGCGTTTCGTGCAAACCGTGTAGCGTTTCGTGTAAACCGTGCAGCGTTTCGTGTAAGCTCCAAAGCGTTTCGTGCAAACCGTGTAGCGAGCGTGCGAGAAGCGTGTGAGAAACGTGCGACTTTCGTGTAAGAACCGTGTGAGAAACGTGCGACTTTCGTGCAAGAATCGTGTGAGAAACGTGTAGGATTCATTCGGAACTCATTTTATTTTAAATATGGCTATTGGTGGACCAACATGTCATTCTGTGTTGTTTGTAACTAATATTATTCGAATATATCATACCAGTGGTATTTTAAGAGAGAAAAACTACGGAAACAGCAAAATAAAATTACTCGGTAATGTATTACATATTTGTTTGATTTTCTTTCTTTTTTTACTTAAATAAAGAAGGAAAGAAAATATGTTCAAAGTAATTAATTATACGCACATCAATTTTAAGGTATTTGATTCAATACATTTTTAAAGGGAGCAATACTGAACATTGTTTTAAAAAAAATCATCAATAGTCCGGTCTTGTCCTTTTCATTCATTTATTTGAATCTCTTCACCATTTTACAGTTGTGGTATATAGATATTACAAAAACATACGGGTGATTAATGCAAAATAATAAACAGATAAGGCAGGCGTGAAATATAAAATACCAAGTTTAATGCGTTGTTATAAATGTGAAGTATGGGAATTCTAGGCCGGGGAGCACAATTAATTTTTTTTTCTTTGTAAACGAAGTATAATTTTCTTATATTACAAGATTGTGATACAAATGATGTTTAAACGCTGAGTCATTTATAGTCTTTTTATGCATAAAATTGGCTGATTAAAAATTGTCTTATAAATGAATCATAATTCACATGCATCGGCAAATACAAGGTTAAATATTTCCGGGGGAGGGGGGGGGGGTGTTCAAATGTAAACACAAACTTTGAGTTTTTGATATTAACATGTTTTTATAGATAATTTTGTTTTAATAGAAAATATTGTTTTTTTCGGGGTGCGCCTGATGCACCCCTTAAAAATGTATTGGAATCTTCTTTACACTTCCGATACTCTTCTTACGACTGTGATCAAGGTCATTTACAACAGCGATCAAGGGCTCCGCGTGCCGGGAACTGAAAACTTGTTCTGCTACATGTACATGTATTATCTTTTGTCAATCATGGCTAAGATGACACCCGACAATAACGATTGATTTTTAATTCTTGAAATTTAATAGTTGTATTAGTATTTAATGGGTAAAAATAAATACCCGTGGAATTTATTCCTTAAATTTATCCGATTCTCCGTAAACAGTGAATTAATTTGCCAGTGTATTCTTCAATAATAAAATATAAAGAAAAAAATCCGGAGTAATTATATATTAGTTGTTTTATTAATCACGCAGTTCTAGAGTATATTTTTTATTTTTTAGGACACTGGACATGTATTCATGTATATTGAATGTATTGTTAAGAGCCGCGACTATTGATTACATTTTTTTTTGTCTAGACGGGATTTGAAATCAAGGATTTTACAAGGTGGTGGGTATATTGTTTTTATTTGATAAACACAATGCCTCAAAATGGAGAACTAAAGCATTACAATACCTATTCCCCCGGCTTCTCTACAATATTAAATTTTAATGATAAGTCTCTAACGAAGCGATATATTTACCATTCTAATTAAAGTGCAGTTAATTAATTACATGTATCTGGTCCCGCTGGAGATATGGATATCCTTTTTTTCTTAGAACGGGCATTTGTTTGTATAATAATTTTTTTCCCAATAGTATACTTACTGAAACAAGTGCCAGTTATATTTAGCCATGAACAGAAGTAAGATCTCGGTAATCTAACCCCCCCCCCCCCCCCCGCACAATGTTCTTATCTGATTTAGTGTACATATTTTCTTGCAAATTATAAACAGAACCTAATTCAATCAAATGAAATTATTTATTTACTAAATCAAAAAATGAATAAATCAATCAATAATAATAATAAAAAAAAAAAAAAAATAGAAAAGGAAAGAAAATCAATTCGTTTACAGAAATCATACACAATTTAATTTTTTTTCAAATCAATAACTGGGTTTATTTGTCAGTAATAAAACGATTTGTTAATATCAAACTATATTTGTTAAAACATTGAATGCTGTAAAGATTATGAATTACAAATATAATTATTTTTTTCAGTGCGTAATTTAGAGTCTAGTGAAAAAGTTTTATACATAGACGATGATAGGCATTTCAATGGGCGCGTCACATACTCAATGAGAACTATAATATTAATCAAATACAACTTAACATTGTGTATTTTTATCTGTTAATATAGTACTGGTGTAGCGAGTTCTAATCCTAATTTAATCTGAATGATTGCAATTCTTAACTAATTTTTGATTAATCCGTAATTTACTTAATTTAGATAAAGTCCGAGAGATTCCGAATAGAAAATCCAGATCGAGGCCAAAACGTGCGAGAATCGTGTACAAAGCGTGTGAGAAACGTGTACAAAGCGTTTCGTGCAGGCTTTCGTGTAAACCGTGCAGCCTTTCGTGCAAAGCGTTTCGTGTAAACCGTGTAGCGTTTCGTGCAAACCGTGTAGCGTTTCGTGTAAACCGTGTAGCGTTTCGTGCAAACCGTGTAGCGAGCGTGTACCGTTCGTGCAGCGTGCGTGTGGGGTAGTAACACGTTTCAGGGTCTGTATGTTTGTAGACTAAATAATTACTATAGGATGTAAACCTTATAACTTTACAATTAAATAGAACTTTCTTTAACAATGTTAATCCTGTGTCAGATTAACTTTCTATCAATTCATTTATGTGTAAATTTTTTTTCTCGGTTGGACTTGTAAATATTTAACCTTCTTTTGTTGGATTTGACAAATTTAAAACCTGGCTTTGGTCTTATTTTATTTAATGAGTAGGGTATATATATATATATATATATATATATATATATATATATATATATATATATATATATATATATATATATATATATATATATATATATATATATATGTATGTATGTATGTATATGAGGGACTAACTCTCATTGATGGATTTGACAATATTGAACTTATATGGACTGTTGATAGGGATTCTTTTGTAGTTTTCCTTATATAAGGGACTTACTCTCTTTGATGGATTTGACAATATTGAACTTATATGGACCGTTGACAGGTATACTTATATACTGTTCTTTGTAAGACTTGGGATCTCTCGCCAAAATCCTCGGTTGTCTGAATTCCCTGTCAATTCTCATTATCTAAAACAAAACAGAATTAATCAACTCTAGCTTTAGTTCAGCAATGTCATAGACGGTTCATCTGCATCTCATATTGGATTAAATTTATGATTAAGGTAGTGCTGTAAATCAGTCATAAAATAAAGTCTATAATAACTTCTTTTAAGAAAAGACATATAAGAAATTGTGAAAAATATTATAATTTAGAGTACTGACTTAAAATCCAAATCATACAGCCACAACAAATTTTGCAATTGTTTATTTTTGCATATGATTGTAGTTCCTGTTCAAATTATTCAAAAAAAGAAAAAAAAAGAAGATGAATTATTTTAAAAAAAATTGACATTTAAATACTTCCTGGCTTATAATCTTTTAACACAAAGAAAAATTTAAGTTATAAACAATAAATAAAGTGCTTAAATCCTTCATGTATCACATTACAATAAAATCTATATTAATAAATTAAACCAATGAAATATGATATGACGAACAGTATTCAAGCTTATAGTCCATTTTAACAATACAAATTGTGGGCAGAGCAAACACGGACGTCCAAAACATCAGAGGCGGGATCATGTGCCATGGAGGAGTAAGCATCACCTATCGACCAGTCACACCCGCCCTGTGCTCCTTGTCATGATCGGGTCAACGGAAAAGTTTTGTAGAAATTTCAGTGTATAAATAATGGCCTAGCAATTAGTATGAAAAACGTCAGTCCGCATTTGACCTAATGATAGATTGTTTTTGCTGACAAGGTCATTATATCGAACGTAGAACTGGCAAAATAATGACTGTTGATATCAGTCTTTCATCAACTTGTTGGTTAACAGCTTGCCTCGTTTTAAAAATTGATGTACGTAGAGTATGCTCTTGTGCTTCGAATCAACTGGGAGACATTAACCCCATATGCAGGTGATAAGGGTATATTGTACATAAGTAAGGGAAGCTGACGATTAAAAAGTTAAAGGCATCACGTTTATCATAAAGTTTTGTTGTTAGGTTACCAATAAACGTCTTTTTTATAGTAAAATATCCAAAGATAAAAAAGATGTGTCAGACTCTATGGTGTCTTTTAATTTATTTCAAGTTCACCGGGATATATCGAATCGACATATGAATGAAAGTAACTAATGTTAATTGATAATACGTCGTCGATATATCTAATTGTCGAGTTGAAGGCCACAGCAAGCGTTTTCTTCTTCTCATATAGAAGTTTTTGAATAAATTCTGCTTCATCAGAAGACAGAAATAGTTCTGCTTACAACGGGGTGCATTTGGTATCCATGGGAATTCCAACAGATTGTTGGAAGATCTGATCTCCAAAAACTACATAGATATTGTCAATTAGAAACGCAGGCATCTTTTTAATATTAACTTCAGAGTACTTGTGTGTACAAGCAGAAAGTTTTTTAACAAATTAACAATTTTTTTTTTTGCAAATGCCCAATGACAAGGTCAGTATATTTACGAGTTCCTTTTTTTTTAAAGTAGCTGTCTATGATGTCAAAAAGCCTGGACTTTAATTTATTGTGTGGAATTGTTGTATAAGGTGTTGAAAAGTCGTACGTTTTGATGTTATTGATTTTGGTAAAATTTTGCGATTTCAAATTTTCTAGAAGTTCCTTGGAATTTTTAAGTATCTACATTTGATTTACACCACATCTTGAATATACTGTTGTACAGTGCTCCTGAAGGTTTTTGTTCACTGCTGTAAATATTTTAGTAAGGATTGAAGAAAGAGGTTTGGTAGAACTACGAAAGAGGCTTGGTAGAACCAAGCAATAAAGGGTTGAAGGATTTAAAAGAAAAGCCTCATGTCCATTGTGCTCACTTGAGTAATATTTTAATTTTTGTTCCCACGAAAAACGAAGCCCCTCTCTGTGGCCATTCAATTAAAGTCAATAATTCCAGGAATCTTATTTCACAATATATTTAGGCTTAATTTAACTTTAACAAAATGTAACATTGTTGTTCCTGTGGAGGTCTGTATATTTCTTTGTACAATTGTGTTCCACTGTCTTTACCTCAAACAAGCAGAGGTGGGAAGATTCGAACAAAAATGAATATACACTAGGAGTGAATTACTAACTTAACTAACTATAATAGCCTGTTGTTCAATAGAATATCTTTCAAAATTTTTCATGTGTAGAGTTTTGGGAAACATTGACCCTCTATTGTGGCCCCATCCTAGCATCAAAGCCAGATTTGAAAAAAATGAACATGAAATAGATGGGTATGCTCGTAATAAATTTGATGACTATGGAATTAATTGTCACGTCAATAATAGGACAGTCAAGTACATGTAACTTCAAGCATTTGTATAGATGATGTTGAAAAATTGTCTCACAATATAAAGTTATGGAGTTGTCATACTACTATGACATCAACTGAACACTAATCTACATCATAAACGGCCGAAAGGTAAAGTAAAGCACTGCAGTTGATATACTAACTATGACATAAATCAAAACATCGTCTACATAATAAACTGTTCGCAGGGTAAATGAAAGGCTAGAATGTATATAATATGAAATAAATTTTAATTTTTTTATTGGACTAGGAAGTTCAAGTTTAATGAATTTCTCCAGACTAAGTTCATAGATTTATTGGATCAATCAGTTTAGTCACAATATCTGTTATATGTCCTATAGCGAGTAAATGAAAGGTCATGAATATGTCAGTTGTTCACACTGGGTCTGTGCAAGCAGCCAGTATACATACCAGATCACTGGGAAGGTCATCCCACTTTGTGTTGCCGTAGTAACCTCCTGTAACAATGGCGGTCATTGGAAAGTGGTCTTTGTACTTCTTGTGAAATTCGGGTAATGGCAGCTCCTCATTTTCGTCATAAATACAGGTGGTGTAGTCCATGTTTGTACTGGAACCTGTTTGTCTTCAGTATGGCTATTCTGGAAAACAAAGACCATCAGATCAGATATATTCTTTGGAAAGATAGGTGGCACCAATATTGTGTGGACCTTTGACTGTAAATAATGGTCTATATTTGAACTTTAATATTTATGATGAAGAAAAAAATACAAACCACTTAATGCCAGACCTAGAATGCTTTTTAAGTATTGCCTCAGTGAAGATATGTATAAAATATAAGTTTTTCAAAGACTAAGTACCAAGAATTTTGAATGAAATGTCTTTACATATTGTTCCTCATAAAATAATTACATGTACATCACTGGGCAATCAAATATATATCTAATGTATATTGCTCAACTACCCATAAATTTCACCAACGAGGGTGAAAGATTTGTAAACGGGGATGGCATAGCAATCTTACGAAGAAGCGAAAACTCTGAACGCTGAATCAGACAGATTTGAAAAGGGGGGGGGGGGGGTATTTAACATTATTTGTTGGAACATCTTGTAGTGTAAACTACATAAATCTAGAGACAGTTTTAAAAAGAATAAACTGCTATTCAGGATACATAGGTCAACATTAATTTTCATCTCAATTTCGAGAGTACGAAATCTAAATCCTATCCGTCTTGACCTTAAGGATTTTACAATGGTTATACCAAAATTCCAGGAATAAGGAATATCATGGCTGACCTGCTCTGAAGTGGACATTGGTCTCCAAAAATAATAGAATCAAGTAAGAATCGGGCAATCTTTCGACATTTTCTAGACCTTTGTACTTTGATTGCTTTTTTTGCCCAGAATTGCTAGTTTTTTTCCACCTACTTAAATTATTTTATTGCTTTTACAAAGATAAGTTTGCCATTAAAGAAAAAGGGGAATTTATGCATCCAAGTTCAGTCAATTATTTACATTGGTATTACGTATAGAAAGAATAATATTATCCGCCGTAGGCTTTCGATTCGTGATGATTAGGCCAGGGATCGAGTCTAGATCGCCGCACTACGTCAAACCTAAGACGTAAACATAGGTGGTGACTGATCCTTCACCAAGCGCCTGGCATTAGAAGTGAAAAACACGGGGCTTTTGGATGAGACCTTAAAAAACCGCGATCCTGAGTCACAGTACGCAATGGCACGATATAGAACCCTCACTGCTCAAAGGCCTTGGGTGCCGAGTATAGGTCTAAATTTGAAGCGCTTCTCTGGTATGGTGACGTCTCTATATGAGAGAAAAATTCTCTATTGGGACGTTAATAAAACATACCTATTATCTGCTGTAAAACTGTTGAAGCAGGTTTTTGTGAATTGAAGTAAATTGAAGATTTATTTTAGTATCTTGATATCGCCCACTTTACTTCACTGGTAAGATGCTATAAAAAAAATTCCTAAAATTTCTTTCGATGTTTGTTCTTGATTAGGTGAAAAAGCATAACAGGGAAATTTTCTTTTCGGAGGCGGAAGGGGAAGATAAGTGGAAACTTATAATGTGACAAGTGATAAATTTTATGAAAAAAATATCTTTACAACATCTATTCAAGATAAAAAAAAAAAGGAAAATTGTTTTTTTTAAATTTCTCTCTTTCTCAAGAAATCTCCTTCCCGCTTTTTGTACTCTTTCCATAGTAATGTTGTTATGTATGGTTGTATTGTTAAGCATAAAGACATTTTATTTCATGTCAATGAATGCTTGATAGATCTAAAATACATTAACGTGATAAGCTTCCATAAAAAAATTGCATAGAAAAAGATGAGCTAAGCATTTTATATTTTGAGCCTAAGGGAGGGTTTATTTGTTAAATCGAAATTTCATTATTTTAAGGAATTCATTTAAATCTGGATGTGAATGGTGATCATTTATTTGTGGATACTAAGTAAACAGAAAATAAATATCAAAGTAATTATACATGCATACTAAGTAAAAAAAAATATAAATTAAAATAATTATACATGCATACTAAGTAAACAGGAAATAAAAATTAAATTTTCTATGCATGCATACTAAGTAAAGAAAAACTAAAACTTTGAATAATCTTAATTAATATTAGATAAATTGAAAGTACTTACGGTACGTTACTGTTTGATACATATTTCTTTTCAAGGAAGGTATTAAAAGTAAAATCTACATTCCCTTTAAGCCAGCAAGAAAATGCTTCCTTGTTGTGCTACTTAACTGCAATTGTGTAAACATATATACTCTCAAATACAACTTGAATAAAGCTTCCCTGATATGCTCTAGTATCACTGTCTTTGTTATCAGAAAAGTGCATTTTGAAGAACATATTCATTTGCTCTTTTCACTGCTTCAAAACCTCTTTTGATTACCACATACGAGTGGTCGAGAAAAGATATGCCTGCACACCCAGAGATAAAATTATGCATAGAAGTATTTTAAACGTACGTCATACAACAGGTTTTCTCCAACTTTATATAGATTTAATCTCAATAAACACGTAATGCATACGATTGAAGAGATATGTAAACTTACGTTTAGTCTTTAGACCTCGTGTTTTAAAAGATGTGCCACTCCGAGAAGATCTTAAGTGACATTGCACAAAGTCACAGATGAGTCATTATGTAAACTAATTATTGAAGGCATAATAAAATTTGTAAAAATCGTTGAAATATATTCCTTATGCAATAAAAAGTAAACCAAATCAATTATCTCCTAGAACCTCGCTGGACTTTACGCATGAAAGAACAAAGACAAATAATTTGTTTTCACACGTCCATGTAACAGTATAATTGCTAGTTGCATTTTAAAATATTATTTAGAAGTTAAAAAATTTATTATAAATATTTGTCTTTAAAATCCAGAACCAAGTCTCTAGAATTATGTTGGAACTGTGAGTCAAACATCTACCGGAATCGTTTAATTGATGTAAATGTATTGTTGAAGAATTTAAAGGAACACCCTAAAAATAATTCACTATTCTAAAGTTTCTTTTTTTAAAATTGGTAATTCGATCAACTGACAAAAATCACGACAAATTTACTTTTAAATATGGTAAGTAGATCGATTTTATCGACCAGAATTTCCTCTGCTCTTCAAAGGATGTGTAAGATATGAAGTTATACAAAAATATCAAGGTTTAATATACACGTACAACTTGCAGACAGTGATACAAGGATATTATATAAGATTTTTTTTAAAAATCGTACTTATTTTTTTTTAAGTTGTGTGTTGGGGGAGGGGGTTTACAGTTGGTTTGTCTTATAGTACATTGTATGAACATTATTATTCGGATACATTCTAATTGTGTTAAATATCCATTTATTAATTTTTCATTAATATGCACGACCATACCATTTGCATAACGAATTAGTGATTCAAATTAGTTGCGTGTGTCTTTGCACAAGTGTGTGCTTTTGTAATTATAATGAATAGTGGTTCAGTTGCAAATTTGATCGCAAAAACACCGCTAAGCTAATATTAGTGGTTCATGTAAAGTCTGCGACACAATAAAATTTCAAATGACAGAGAACCCAATATTATTGTCTTATGTCAGTGATGTCTCTTCATGTTTGGCATGTACAGTAAAAGCCAATAAAATATTTATTTGGAATGAGCCTCAACAAATTATCATTTAAATGCTGATTTGATAATAATTCAAAATACAAAAAAAAAAAAAAAAAAACACTAAATTTTTATAGACTTCTGCAAGCAAAAGTGTATAGAAGAAACATTATGCACTGTTTTTTTATAAAATGATTAAATACGCCACCATTCAGGGAAAGAAAAAAAATTAGTAACATCATTGGCATGGATGATTCCAATTTTCAGATCGTAGAGATAAATTCACATCGGGACGTGTCCAAGTTCGATAAATTTTCTAAGTCTAATTGCTTCTGTCTTTGTGAAGCTGTAATCTTCTTTTAAGTCCTTTACTGTAAGATCTTGGACAATTTCACCGTCTATCAAGTCCTCAGAAAAACGATCCACGAATTTACCAAGCTTAAGTTTGATCAGAATTTCCCCCAGTTCTTTGATGGTTTTCCCAGACACGTGGTTTGACTTCGTTTGACCTCTGTCCTCTGTTGGTACAGAGGTAGAACTAATGTTTGACTGAGCCGTATCTTCTGTCCAGTCATCAGGCTCTGGTTCAGCATACTCACATTCGGAATCCGTCTGAGGAATGTTTATCTGTTCAATGTTAGGTTCTTTTCGTTCAAAGATGCCCTGTTTAATATTTTCCCCTGGAGTCGGAATTTTGTCTGTAATTTCTTCGTACTCATCACTCTCTCCATCGGAATCTTGCGTTTTTGTAACTGCAAAGGGTCGCACTTGACAAAGAATATCATTTTCATAACCAGGCCCTTTTTCAGTCTGTACAGTTGGAGGATTTAGTTTGAAGTCCTCGTCTATCACTTCATAATCATCGCCATATATTTCATCATCAGAGTCATCGGCAGATAACTCTTTGGTAACTGGAGGGTTTGGTTTCGTTTTTGGTTTTGGTTTCGGTTTTGGGGGTATCTTAGCAACTTTTGAATTCTTTTGAACTTTACCATTGCCAGGTTCCTGGCATTTCGGAGCACTCTGTCGATCTGGAAGGCGGGGAATTTGTCCAAGGGCTGTGGGTCTACCCTGGTGGGACGGTTCCTTTATGTCATCCGATCCTCTCCTTTTTGGAAGTGCTGGAGCTGGTCCTCTGTCTATGTCAGGTTTTTTAGGGATAATGTTGGCAATTTCTGGATCAGATGTTTCTAAAACTTTTATACCTGTGTAAAAATATATTTTATTCTTTGTCAAGATGTCATCGATTAATAGTATGAAAACAAATGACATATTTAGGTCTTTAATGAGGTGTTTTAATAACTTTGTTACCTGCAAGTATACATAATAAGAATTTCCTTTATTATTGCATCTTCGCTAGCCAAGGGTTACTGATACGCTACTCTCCTCATAAGCCCTTGGCATACGGTGTTAAAAAAAAGTTGGGATTTTTTTCTCAAGTTGTGATTGGAGTTGATCGACATCGTTCGACCAATCAGCAATTGTTTTTTGTAAATGACGATATTTGCGTTCGGGATATATCTTGACTCTTTAATATCGGTAATGTAAAACGCAAGTAAACAATGATCCGTAAGATAACATGCCATTCTATGAATAGCAATATGGTGTCATCCAATATCTAAAGCTACGTGCAAAATATGTGATTAAGAATCTATACTGAAGATGTAGATTTGCATTTTTACATGTTTAACAAATTAACATTACTCGATTTCTTCTTGTTAGTTATTCTTTAAAAACAAACTTTTTTTAAATACGCTTTTTATTTCTGTCGATGACGCAATCTGTGCGTACCTGGTAAGAATCATGATCACGTGACAAAAACAATCCCGTCTTTTGTCAGCACCGTATGCCAAGGGTTTATGAGGAGATGGAGTAACGTATCAGAAACCCTTGGCTAGCGAAGATGCTATTATTGAGGAATAAAACTTTTTTACGTAAAACTTTGCATAATTATATTTTAAATCATGCTTTAACAATCATTGTATGTGCACAGAACTATCTAACATGCTTATGATTAACATGATAGAAGAAAACTACTACCACCTCATAGAAATAAAGTTAATCATCATGTTTTTAAAAATTGTGTTTGCATTAATTTGTTTTTACCTCTGTTACATGTCTCTTCAGTGAATGTACTCTTTTTGTTGACGTAGTCTGTCATGCGTTGTAAATATTGATTATATTCCTCTTCTGTCTTTTCTTTTAGTCCATAAACAGGTGCCATAGTAATGAGGGGACACAATGTCACAGAAGCGCTGTCTTTGGCGATGGCTCCATTGGAATAAAAATTTCCTTGGAGGTAAATTTCTTCGTAACGATATTCTATCAGGAAGCTGATCAGACCACCATCTGGTCCCCCTCTCCCTTCCTTCGGAACCTCTCCTCTCGTAGAAAACTGGACCAGAACAGGCAAAGGATTTTTCTCCAAAATTTCTGCCAGAGTTTGATCCTGGCTTTCTAAATAGAAAGAAAAAAATTAAAATCTGAAAAATAAAAAAAGAATTATTGAAATCCATTTTTACATCATGATAAGAACATTCCTGTGTGTTTCTCAAATTCTAGAAAGTATCTTATATATTCTTTAAAATTCTTTAAAATAACATTCTTTAAAATTTACTACCATTTCATATATTTTTATAACGAATTGATGATACTTGTCTTTTTTTTTTGAAAACTTCAACCTAACACTTGCTTTGAAGTATATAGTAAAAAAAAAAAATGTAGAGCAAATTTTTTAGTGCACTTTACACTATTCATAGGCATGAAATGTATGCGTATGGTGGCCTTGACAATGCTATCTTTGTAGTTAACTTACTCTCTTTGAGGGATTTGACAATGTTGAACCTATATGGACCGTTAACAGGTATACTTAGATACTGTTCACGATAAGCTCTAGGATCCTTCGCCAGAACTCTTTGTTGTCTAAAATCTCTGTCGATTCTCATTACCTGAAACACAGAAAAAGCTGCATTGTAGTTATTGTTCTACGTAAATTTTCTTATCTCCCTCATGTATATTTTAATGCTTTTATAGATTCTCCTCACCTAGAAACCAAACCAAAATGCTTATGTATTGGTATATTTAAAATTCACAAGTCAATTGTACCATATAGTTTTAAAATACTTCTCTTTTTATGCAAATAAGTCTTTTTTTCTCGTTGAATTCAACAAATGCCTCTGTTAATTTCATACAATTTAAATGTTCTATGAAACATATTGTTTTCTGAATATTATATATTTATATATTGATTTATTTTTCTTATTTGGGATGATGTGGGTTATATTTATAATAATTGCAAGAAATTATGAGAATTTTTTGTCAATTAAAGTTCTTTTTATGTATAAGACATAACTGACCACTCTACCTTTTCATTTTCATGCAAAACAGCTATCTTATTTCTTATCAAAGAAAATCAACAGTATTGATAAATGATAATTAAATGCATTTCTCTAAAATAAAAATATTCACAATATTGATTGATATATCCAAAGGATGAGGTATCGATTTCTATTAACGAAATAAAACACGTTTATTTAATTTGTATAGTCATATTCATTATTTTTTGTTTCAATTTGAACAGGACGCGTAATGAATGGATTTGCATTTTTCTGCTTTCTGTAGGGAAAATAACATCGTTTGACCAAACCATTTTGCTTACAAAAAATCACACTGAAAGTAAAACGCAATTAAGTTTTTAAATAAAAATAAGTAAATCCCTGCAATAAATTCATCAGGATTTATTTCACTTTATGTTACTCAGTCAGCATGTTGAATATTTGATATCTTGTATATCATTTTACTGGTGGTCAGTAAACTCAATACCAATTTGAAATGAACTTTCCGCTTTAAGAATCAAATACATACTATGTCACTTGGTAGATCATCCCATTTCGTTGGACCGTAGTGACCTCCTACGACAATGGCCAGCATCGGAAACTTGTTTTTGTACTTCCGATGAAACTCGGGAAGTGGGAGCTCTTCCTTCTCATCATAGATACAAGTCGTGATATCTGGCTGCATTTGATCGTCCTGAAATGATATTAAAGATATCTTGTCACAAATGGTCAGAAGTATCCTCATTATGTGTTAGACTATTAAAGAAGTAACTCTTTAATTGTAGAATTATATAGGTTAAGATATATGTAACTTAAAAATATTTCTAAGACAAATTATCAAAGAAAGAGAAGAAGGAGAATGAAAAGCAAGACTTTCAAATATAATAAGATTAATTCTAAAGTATTTGCAGAGATAAATAGAATTTCATCGTAGTATAAGCATTATAAAAAACACAATTCTCATTAAAAAAAAATCCATATTCTGCAGTTTCTAAGATTTGATACAGATCTCAGTACCTCCTTGAAAATAATTTTTTCTTTTATTTTTTTGAGTTATTGTATACTGCTTTTTGTCCCACTTAAACGAATGCGCAAATAGTTTTTTTCTGATCGAAAGCTTTCTGGCACCTGTCTGTACGTATTATCTTCTCAAGAATCACTTGTTCACTTATAACCAAAAAAAACACAACTAAAAGTCAACCATGTATATAGCTGTACATAAAAAAATCTTTAAAATTGATCTTAATAACAACATGCTCATAATAAGTCAAACTATTATACATTGTAGTTTTAGAATATAGTTTGTTATAGTCATGTCCCATGATCGGGTAAACGTGAAAATCGGTAGACAAATCAGTGTGAAAATAATGGCCTAACAATTTGAATAAAAACCGTCAGTCAACATTCGATAGAATGATAGATTGTATTTGCTTACAAGTTCATTCTATCGAACGTAGAATTTGCAAAATGTTGACTTCAAGCTAGGCTGCTGATATCCTTGTATCTTAAACTTATTTATCAATATCTAGTTTGCCTCATTTTAGAAATTGTTGTCGGTAGAACATGCTCTTGCCTATTGAATTAATTGCAGACATAAACTCCATATGCATGCGTTAATCGTAGATTGCTAGATGAATTTTGGAAGCTGACCATAAAAAGCTGAAGTCATCACGTTTATCATAAAGATTAGTTGTTTGTTTGCCATCAATATCTTTCTCTAGTTAAATATTCAACTATGATGCAGAATTTTACTACGGAATGTTCCTCCTACCTGATCAATACATAGGGTTCACCACCGGTCAACAGGGGATGCTTACTCCTCCTTCGCACCTAATCCCACCTCTGGAATATCCGGGGGTCCATGTTTTATGCCCTGTCCACAGATTTTATTCTTTATAGATATTTTGATATCGATAACTTTTAGTTATCTTCATCTTTTTCATGTGTCAGACTCCGTGGTGTTTTATCTCGAGTTTCAATGGGTGAAATAGTTAGCATGCAATGTTTAGTATTGTTTTTAAAATGTCCCCTGAGTCCAATTTTTCTTCGTAATAAAATATAATTTTTAAAATCATATCAAGAAAGCAGGGTCACAGTTACAGTTTTAATATGCAAAAAACTATTGTTATTAAGTTTCATATTAATTCAGAGACTAAGTTTGGACAATAACGTTTCATACAGAAAGATATATATTCATATAAAAATAATTGTTACAATTGCAAAATTGTTTTGTTAAAAAACATTCTGATTGTACACAGAAGTACTCTGAAGTTGATATCAAAAAATGCATGAGTTTTGATTTACAATATATGTGGTTTTTGGATACCAAGTCTTCCAACAATCTGTTGGAATTTCCATAGACACCAGTTGCGCCCGTTGTTAGCAGACCTATTTCTGTATTCATATGAAGTAGAATTTATTCAAAATCTTACACATGAGAAAACAAACCTCTTGCTGTGGACTTCAACTCGACACTTAGATATATCAACGACGTATCATCAATTAACAATGGCTATTTCCATTCATATGTCGACACGATGTACCCCAGTGATCTTTGAAATAAAAGATACCAAAAAGTCTGACACCTCTGTCTCATATTTGGATATTTTACTAGAAAAAGACGTTTATGGTAATCTAACAACCAAGCTATATGATAAACGTGATGAGTTCAACTTTTCAATCGTCAGCATCTCTTACTTTTGCAGCAATATATTCCTATCACCTGCATATGGGGTGTATACCTCTCAGTTGATTCGATACGCAGGAGCATGCTCTACGTATGAACAATTTCTAGAACGAGGTAGGTTATTAACAAACAAGTTGATGAAACAAGAATATCAATAGTCACGTTTAAAGTCATCATTTCGTAAGTTCGATGGTCAATACAATGACCTTCTAAGCAAATACAATCTATCATTTAGGCATATACTGAATGAGGTTTTGATACTAATTAGGCCATTATTTCCACACTGAATCGTCGACGTATTTTTCCGTTTTTCCCGACCATGGCAAGGAGCACTCGGCGGGTGTGACCGGTCAGCAGGGGATACTCACTCTTCCCTGGCACCTGATCCCACCTCTGATGTTTTTGGAGGTAAATATTTGCTCTGCTCCCGATTTGTATTGTTTAAATAGACTTTGAGCTTGAATACGGTTCATTATCTCCATATTTCATGTATAAAAAGTATTGTTTGTAGAATTCCTATGACTTCGACCAACGTTCATTATCTTCATTTTTTCATTAATTTAAATGTTGAAAAGATGCAATTCGATGATTATATAACTGGTTGCATTTACTTAAAAGTTTTTTTTATTTGTTTATTTGTTTGTTGTTGAAATCTCTCTCGAGATTTTTTTAACTCAGATGGAGACGCCACCCCTTGCCGGTGGAGGGCTGCAAATTTATACCTATACTCGATAGCTAGGGCCATTGAACAGTGCGGGATCTTTTTCGTGCCAGAACATACTACGACATGGGATCTCGGTTAAGACGGTCTGAGTAGAAGGGCCGGTCTTCATGTCCCGATGTGGGTATATTTTAATTTGTCAGAAATTACAAAAGTCTTTATTTGCTTATTTTTACATACTGTAGCATAGAATTGTGTAAGTATTTAATTGTCGACACGTATTTGTCAGCGATGGTACCAACTCTTCCTGCTTATCATCCAATGAGTCTAAAATTTCTTAAACTGAGCAAGAAGTTTTTTATGATAAGTACATTGTTAGTTGTAAGTATGTGTCAAATATGCAAATACAAAACAAAAATTTTGATTTGACAAAAAATTCCCTGATGCCATATTTTCTGTAACAAATAAGCGCCAAAAGCATGTGAATAATGTAAAAGTATAAAAATCCAAAAGGTTGTTAATGGAGGCGGAAGTAAAATTTCTACTGATATTTGCTGAAAATCGTATCCAGGCAGAGAATGCTTCATAGATCGGTGATAAGTGGTTGATAGTGTACTTTAATAATTTATAAAATCTGACATTTTTTGAATATTTATTCTCTTTAAAACATTTATTCAAAATATGTCTTTCGTTACATAAAAAACGGCAAAACAAAAGGGAAATAAACAAGACTAAAAAAAAAAATAGCGTTTTTAAAATAAAGGTTTCTGGAAAATTATCTAATCTTAGTCAAGAATAGAGTTGCAAAATGATAACTGTTTAAAACTAGCATAATATGTTTAACATACTTTCGGCATAAGTTGAAGATATGAAATAGCAGGATTCTTTTTCCGTCATGTTTGAAAGATATGTGGAACATGTAAAAGACTTCAAAAGTAATGAAATAATCATAAACTATTCATTTATTTCACACATTTTTCTGAACAAGAGTCAATATACATATTTTTTTAAAACTCGTTTAAAAATGAAGACATACTCTGAAAATATATGTAGAACACATGTTAAACATTGTTGCTCTTTTTTAAAATTGAAAAGATACATTTGAAACATAATTTGAACATACAATTTTCACTTCATTTGATTTTTTGTTGTTAAAATTATTATTATTTTTTTCAATTTTCTGTTTATTGCATTTTCTTTATTTTTTAACTTTTATTCTTAACGCATTGGATAGGTCGTATTTTCATAGGTTAGCAATTGTAAGCGGTCATAGCTAAGTATCTGTGAAATACTCTAAACATAGATTTAAACAAATTTATTTAGAGAATCTATGGAAGTTTCAGTCAGTGCCAGGGTTGTTATTTTTTTACTTTAGATTTCTATAGGGATTTTTTTCTTTTACATTTTTCGTCAAGGGAAGGGAAGTTTTACAACAAATTCATTTTTTTTTTCATTGCGATGGTAATACATTATAGTTATGCTGTCTTGTTACTTTGTGAAGTGAATCAACCTTAAGTCTTCGCTACGGCTTGAAACGTGCGATCGCTCATTGTCTCCGGTTTATTATGCTTTTCTTTCAAAAGGGGTTGACAAGTCTGTGTTTATAACCGTCATATCACAGTGGTAGAGTTCTAATATTTTAAAAGGGAAAGTTCTATCCTTGACCTACTTCGAATGAAAACCTTGAAATTAACTGTTAATTATTGCTCAAGAAACACTCGATTCTTAAAGATTTTATCCAAAATCATGAGTCACGGTACAAAATCACACGATTAAGAATAAGAAAAATAACTATATTGACTTGGATGTGAAGCATAACCGCACTGTTTGCAGGTGGTTATTTGATAAGAGTAAAGCTTATCGGCTTTTAAGAGGAACCATTTACCTATTTCCCTTTATATGTCCCATTTACCATAGTTTTCATAAAAGCGGAGCCCATATCCATTATGTTGTTATATATAGGAAGCCGGCAATTATGATCAATGTAAGTGTTCAGTAAATGTACACAAATTTCATAGCAATAGTAAAACGTCTTTCAGAATTACACATTGATCTCCTTCTAAAGACTCGAAACATACTAGGAAACCAATTTTGCAAAGGAAAGTCAATTTGCAAATAAATATTGTCACCTGAGCATAACAAGGCTGTAGGCTGTATTGCCAGTGAAGAGTTTCTCTGTAAACTTGTAGTGATTATGAAGAAAAGAAATCTTTTTGAATAAAAGGAGAAAGTTCGAAAGCCGAGGAGATAAAAAATTAACCATATTTATAGAAAGAAAGTGAATTTTAAGAATAAAAGAAGGATACTTACTAAGTGATGATATTCCAATATAGTTAAGGTTGTATGGAAGGTATTCTTATCATTCTAAAGTAAAACAGGAAGTAAATGCGCTTTTGTTTACATACTTTGGTGCAGGTGCGCGAATATTTTATTTATCTGATAAACGGGGCACGGAGTAAAGATTTAAAAATGGCGTTCATCAAGGTTAATTGTTATTGTTATATATAGAATGAAAATTATGTAGCGATTATAAAATGGGGAGAAATGGATACATAATTTAGTATGGCATGTCAAACGTTGCAATATTCGATCTTTTCCATTTGTATTGTATAACTTTCCATTTGTATTGTATAATTTTTATTTGTATTGTATAATTTTTCATTTGTATTGTATAATTTTTCATTTGTATTGTATAATTTTCAATTTGTATTGTATAATTTTTATTTGTATTCTATAATTTTCCATTTGGATTTTATAATTTTCCATTTGGATTGTATAATGTTTATTTGTATTCTATATTTTCCATTTGTGTTGTAAAAAAAATCATTTGTATTGTATAATTTTTCATTTGTATTCTATATTTTTCATTTGCATTGTATAATTTCTTATTTGTATTGTATAATTTCTTATTTGTATGCGATAATTTTTCATTTGTATTGTATCCGAGGATTGTTTATTTATTTCGTTACGAAGGATGTCATTGGTCATAAAATTTAGTCTGTATAAAGGTGCCCATCACAAACTTAGTCTGGTACCCTTCCCACAATTCCGATCGCGCACTCTCTACAAACACAAACTCGGCTCCTCTATTTTTCGGTGCATGCTAAGGGACGACCATTTGATTCTCGGGGGGTGTCGAATCCGATTATTTATTTTCATTCTCTCGCAGGAGAGAATATTTATTTCCAATATGACCAGAGACAAGGAGAAAAACAAAAAGAAGAAAATCCGCCCAAACCCGAAAACTCAGTTTTTTTGGGGTGGGGGTAGTTACCACCACTCAAGGTCAATTTATTTATTTTCTCAATCAGCATTCCTAAGGACAGATTATTTATTTGCCATCTACCAGCGCTCCCTTTTAAGAATCCAATAACCGTCTAACATGCACGCAAATACATATGCCGCCGAAATATGGCTGAAATATTGCCGACTCGGCGTTAAACAATAATCAATCAAGCAAGCAAGCAAATACATATGAGCCCAATTTGCTTTGAGCATCCGGAACATCTTCAACCCGATACAGGCTGAAACTTGACCAATGAAATCCTTCGTAACGAAACAAATAAACAGTCCGCGGATACAATACAAATGAAAAATTATCGCATACAAATAAGAAATTTTACAATACAAATAAGAAATTATACAATGCAAATGGAAAATTATACAATACAAATAAAAATTATACAATACAAATGAAAATTATACAATACAAATATAAAATTATAGAATACAAATAAAAATTATACAATACAAATGAAAAATTATACAATACAAATAGAAAATTATACAATACAAATAAAAATTATACAATGCAAATGGAAAATTATACAATGCAAATGCAAAAGATCGAATATTGCAACGTTTGACATGCCATAATTTAGAGGGGTTTAATATTTAAATAAATACAAAAACAATCTGTATCAATTACATGACGCATGAAAAGAATTAGAGCTCTAATAAAGTATATACTGTATGCTTTATCATTAAATTTAAATGAAGTTGTCCTTAAATAAAAAGCCATCTCCGGATGACCTAACTCGCCCCTTTCGTATATCTGTCGTAAAAGGTAGAACTTGAAACCTAGTAAGGACCATGTAACTAGCTTTGACCAGAGAAATAATAAACAATGAGAAAGTTTTGTCTATGCTCTATCTATTATCTTTTATAGGAAAAGAAAATATTGAGAACTTTATTTGTTATGTAAGCATAAAAAAATTCTATATTTCATTTCCTGTATTACATCGATAGGATAAATCTAAAAGGTATTTGGAAATATTTCAGATAAAATATGAAGATAACGAACAGTTATCAAGCTAAAAAGTCCATTGGAAGAAATTTTGATCGGAGCAAAAATGGACCTTTAAATACTTCACAGGTGAGGTTGGGTGCTATGGAGGAGTAAGCATCATATGAGGATTTCATTTGTCCCTATATTTAACATAAAATTAAAGCAAAGATACTACTTGGCTAAATTTATTCTGGATCTGGATCAAAATAAAAAAAATTATTTCTAATAAGTTGCGGATTTCTCCGTTTACTCGATCATGACAAAGAACACACGTGTGACCGGTCGACTAGGGATGCTTACTGCTAAAAGGTACCTGATCCTACCTCTGATGTTTTCAGAGTTTCACAATTTTTATTATTTAGTTAGACTTTTCAGCATAGTTCTTGATCTTCACTTTTCATATAATATAGAGAAAGTTTAAAGAAATCCCTCCAATTTTGGTTATTGTAGTAACGTTCTATACATTCTTTGTTTCGAGGAAAATGGAACGCAAGCAAGCCAGTCTTTGACTTTTTTAAGTGAAAGATAATTCTATTTTTGCCTAAGATCCACAAATATTATAAATATTCTCGCTATGCTTTCTAAAAAAGAAGATATCGTTAGGTGGATGAAAAACGCAATTCAAATTATGCGTGTCATCACTTAACTTATGGGATTGGTAACAAGATTGGATTTATGCTAAAAATGATTTACTTATCTAAAATAAAACGTGTGAATTTAACCCCTAAAAGTGTAATTTTGAGTTATGGGAGATAATTGTTACATTGTGCTCTATTATAAATCGTTAGAGCTCTGAATTTTTTGAATAAGGTGCTAATACCAGGACTCAGTCTTAGTAGATTATTATTTAAACACGTGATATCTAATGAAATGTGAGGATAAAGAACAATCGTGTTCAGAAATCAAATTAAAAAGTGCAAATGAAGGGCAACGCCAACAAAGACCCCTGATACAATCAGATATATGATCAAGTCCATGGAGGAGTAAGCATCACTTGTCAAAATGGTAACACCTCTGTGAGCCCTTTCTCTTGATTGGGTGAACTGACGTCTTATAACAATTTGATTTAACTTTTTGAACGACTCACCTTTTTGCATGATATCTAATTGAAGGTCTCTTAATTTCCACTTTATTTCTGTAGACATTTCTTTGGTCTCACAGACGCTTTATTTTGATCTAATGTATGAATTTTTTATTCTACGTATATCTAGAGTCCTCGCCAAACTGTATCAAATAAAGTATAAAAGCCACTTGCATTTGAGGAAATTTGAATTCACTCTTAATAAATTTTGCGGGCTGAAAGGAAGGAAAACGTTTATGTGGTAAGCACTCTCTATCCAAAGAAATGAAATTTAGGGATATTTTACGGGTATAAATAATTGTTTGGAACGTGCAATTCTTTTTAGTGTTTCTTTTTAGTTTTTTCTTGTGCCTCCCAGTTTATTTGATACGCAAGAGGATGATCTACGAATAATCTCAAAAACGAGGGGAGCTATTGACAAATAAGTTGATGATAGAGGGATAGTCTCGTTTAAAATCAACATTTAGCAAATTCTATGATCGCTACAATGACCTTGTCACCGAATACAATCTATACAATTTAAGTCGAATGTTGACTGACGTTTTTCATACAAATTGTAATCCATGATTTTCTCACTGAATTGTCCACGGACTTTTTCGTTTGCCCGATCATGACAATGAGCACATGGCGTTTGTGACCAGTCGACAGGGGATGCTTACTTCTTCATGGCACCTGATCCCACCTCTGATGTTTATAGGTCGTGGTCGCTCTGCTCCCTATTATTATTGCTTCAATGGACTTTTGAGCTTCATCGCTCTTCGTTTTTTGCGTATTTCTCCCTATTAAATAGCGACATTTATTATATTCAAGGTAATTAAAACAGGTACCAATTTCTATTTATTACTTGTAATATATGTCCCTTGTAAATATAAATGACGTCTATTTTATAGTTTTTGCAAATAGGTCTATTAATAGGGCAAAAATCATGAAAAGTGAACGATGTTTGCACCAAGCTTCTGTCTATTAAAACCTTAAACACAGACTCGATAGAAGCATTATAAAGTAGGGATGCGCGATTTTTTTCGGTATATTCTTTATTGCGTGATAAGTATCGTGATGCGGAAACTAAAATCTCTGTATTTGGTACACACTTATAAATTCCATAAATTATTCATATATTTCTTCAAACTTTTAAAATACAGTTACCAGGAGTGTAAAGCAAATGTTGAAAACAATAAAACAACAGCAACCTGGCATCCAAACATAATCTATATTATATGAATAAAAAAAATTATGTTTTTACAGCATATTTGTATGAAAAATATGAAGTTTCATTTTATAATCATAGTAAAAATTGTGATATCATCGTGATATATGGCAGGAAAATCGTGATATATCTTGATACTAAATTTTTGACGATATTCATACATATTATAATATCCTCGGAAATTTTTACATATCCATATAAATTAGTTCAGTTAAGACAAAAAAAAAAAAAAAAAAAAAAAAAAAAAAAAAAAAAGTGACTCTTTCTAAAAATAAATTCACCACTGATTGACAAAGGAGCATATCAGATAATCACAAGTGTTAGTTCCCACCTTTTTGCCTTAAAGTGAGACAAAGATAACTTTAAACTGGAATGTGACCTTTTTCAATATATTTCCTTAGCCTAATGGCCTCTACTCTCGTGAACTTAAATTCTTTCTTCAAGTCTTCTTCTGTGAGATGTTGGACAATTTCACCGTCCACCATGTCCACTGCAAATTGATCCACAAATTTTTCCAGCTTTAGTTTGACAAGGATTTCTCCGAGCTCCTTAATGGTCCTTCCAGAAGCATAGTTCGACGTCTGAGGTGTTTGAAGTTTGCATTGTATTGGAGCTAAGCCAGCAAAGGCGCCCCCTGAATACTCTGTACTGTAGGGTTGTGATACAACGTAATCATACTCTGGCTGTGGGACATTGTCAATATGTTCTCTGTTAGAGTTTTGAGTGGAGATGGATTCCTCAATATACTCTTCATAATCATTTTCTTCGCCGGAATCCTGTGCTATTGGAATTGGTTGGACTGGACAAAAATTATCATTTTCGTAACCATGTACTTTCTTTTGCTGTTCTTTTTGAGACTGCAACTTCGAACATTCACCGATCTCTTCATATAAATCTTTATCCACGTCATTGGTTGACTTCAGTTTGGTAACTACTGGTTTAGGTTTTAGTTCCGGTTTCGGAGGCTTTTCACATTTTCCTTTATTTTTATCTCCTACTTTTACACTCGGAGATGCTACTCTATTATGGGATCTAGATCTTTCTAAGTCCTGTGTGTTTGTGTTTGGAATAAGTCCAACATCAAAACGCTTGTTTTGACTTGAATTCGTGGACTGCGCTTTTGAATTCCGTTGTGACCCTCTTGTAGGGAGGTCAGGAGCTGGTCCGCTGTCTATGGTCGGTTTTTTCGGGACAATATGAGCAATGTCTGGATCGGCTGCTTCCAGAATCTTGATACCTGTATCAGAAAGTGCAGAATGGTGTTTAAATGTATTACTTACAACGCAAAACTCTTACTTGTATGTCAAAATTATTTCTCTTTACTAACGTTTGACCTAGGAAAATTTTCAGGAGTCGCCTGGATCTGTTTACTGTTATATATTATACTTCTTAATTAATCTTTGCTAAACCAAGAAATTTTTTATGCTGAATGCATGACAAAAATATTATTGTAATCAGAAGTCTCCGGGGAGAATATACCTCTACTTGTTAGTACTAATTATTGTGAAAACTCGTTTTGTCACACTTTTTTGGAAACCAGTGCACAGAACTTTAAGCATTGTCATAGTCTTTTTGTATAATTTTATTGAAATCATACTAAAAATATAAAAGGAATCGCATTCTGCAAGTATTTCATTATACCCTATAAGTAGTGTTCAAAGAGATCGAGTTTGCTTTATTCAATTTTTTTTTATATCTCTAAGTATAGCGCTATAACCAAATACTGATGTACAAAGTTATGTTTCTAGGTGAAGGCTACTTGTGTCCGAAGTCGTACTGAGCCAACTCAGCATAGTAATTTATCTTAATATAGTTTACACATGAACTAGGATTTAATGAAATTTTACCAGACGGTAGAAGGGGAGTTTGTAAGGAAAAAACATCCTTTATTTAAGATTTAAGACAAATGGACGAAAACTGTAAGAGGAATAGCATATTTTTGAAACTGCTTACAGACGAAAACTCAAACTGATAGACAGCTAGAGAAATAACAGAAACTTTTCCATCTTATTAGCTTTTCTGGTCTCTGAACAGTAGAGCTAAAATTTCTTCGTCTCTTGAGAAAAAATGATTCGATTTGCTATTTTACCCAAGTTACACGTATCCTCGGAAAATTCACTGTTCTTATTGACGTAGTCTGTCATACGTTGTAGGTATTGGTCATAGTTCTCCTCTGTCATTGTCATCAGCCCGTGGACTGGAGCCATGGTGATAAAGGGAGATAAAGTGACAGATGCACTCTCTTTAGTGATGCACCCTTGAAAAAAGTAGTTCCCTTGAAGGTAAATGACTTCGTGACGATACTCGATAAGAAGATTGATTGGTTTTTCATCTGGACCCCCTTTTCCTTCCTTTGGAACCTCTTCACTCTCGGAAAATTGAACGAGGACTGGCAAAGAGTTCCGTTTCAATATATCCGCCATACTTTGATCTTTGCTTTCTAATATTGAAAAAGAGATTTATTTAGATGGACCTTCATGTATATTTTAATATACCTATCTTTTTCTGTGCCATGACTATTTACTTTTGCTATTTGAAGATGTGATTAATAAAACTTTAATAGAAAACAATTAAAAAAAAAAAGAGTAGATTATGATGCTTTTATAAAAAAAAAATAGAATGAATCAAAATCAAAACATTAATTACTAATAAAAAGGAATGTGCCTTACGTGTCTTGATTGATTTAACAACGTTGAATTTATATCGACCATTTACAGGTATGCTTATATACTGCTCCTGGTATGATTTTGGGTTCTTGGCCAAAACCCTCTGCTGTTTAAATTCTCTATCGATTCGCATCACCTAAAATATGAAAGAGTTGACGCCTTTTATATTTACTGGAATTACTTTCACTTCTATAGAAAAGTTTTTCTTTTTGTTGTCTTTCAAGGTATTCTTAAACAGTCTTGAAAATAGTTTTTTCAACTCCTGTTTATACAACTGTAATGGTCTCCTGTACTTTTTAGAGTCTATCACGATACTCGTTAAAGCAACCAGTTTCCTTTTAAAAAGAATGAATTTGATCCATTTTTTTTCAGTATCATTCAATAATATTCACTACTTTGACAATGAGCATGCCCATACCATGAGTTTGAATAACTGAGCTTGTAATTAAGTATTCAATGATTTAGAGCATTAACTGTTTAGTGAGTAATTCTTTTTTGACGACTCAGTTACCTGGTTCAAGTACACTCTAATCATTTTAGAATCTTTAATCTTTTATTCAACTTAAACTTAAAAACCTCTGTCATCCCTATAAAAATTGGTATGATTTGTTCAGATCTCAGTTTTGCTAAAACTCAAACTCTTTTCTTAAAAGATGGTGTTCATATTGGTAAATCCAGATACTTTGGGATAAGAGAATTGGAATTAATAGCTTTTTACCAAAGAATTTATTGTATGAATACATAATCATTATGTCAATTCTACTGTTTTCTGTAGAATATCCCATATCATAATCATGCAGGTCAACTTTCTTAATAAAAAAAGGCAGTTGTAAAGACACTCTGTGTTATGGGTGACGTGCATTTTTTCTTGGGATAAGAGATCAAATATATCTTTCAATGTTAAGGTAATTAAAACTGGCAAAATTTAAATTTATGCTAAGAAAAAAATATACATTATAATCTTTATTGACTATAAATGAAGATATGTTAAAAATCGCCAAACACATATGTTAAACATATGTCAAGTTTCAATTATATATTCCATGATAGAAAGACATGATTAAAATACACACGAACGATAGGAATACTCCCATCTTTCGTTTAAGCATATATTAAGAATATGAAGTTAGTGTTCTAAGGTTCTATTGTAAACTGTGTCTTTTCACACAATGAAGATGTTCTCAGACCTACCAGGTCACTAGAAAGGTCGTCCCATTGAGTGGGTCCGTAGTGTCCTCCTACAACAATGGCCATCATCGGAAACATGCTTTTGTACTTCCCGTAAAACTCCGGAAGTGGAAGCTGTTCTTTTGTGTCAAAAATGCAAGCATGTGAGTTTATTGTTTCTTCAGATGTTTCGGACTTGTCCATGATTGACACGAATCTTCGATAGTAAAATCCTGAAAAGCTAAAAGCAATCTTATTTTACATATAGATATTATTATTGAGATTCTAGGTTGTCCTTTCCAAGCACCACATTGTTAAATACCGTTAAACACGAGTGTCACCTTTAAAAAAATGACATGACGTCTTGAAATGTATTAGCTAAGACAGTAATTCTTTTTATTCCCTTTTTTAAAAAAAATATAAAAAATTGTTCAATTATCATGTCTTAATCATATTCACACCATTAGAGATCTATTTATATAAAGCAAAATTCAACCTTTTTCTTTCATGATTTAGATTATAGCTGGATATGCTTGTAAGTTTTACTTTCGACATGCTAGCTTGTAAAAGTTTAGTTCGACTTTTTCGTAAGATTATAGCTCGATTTGTTTGTAAGATTTCAGTTTGTATGGGCTCGTAATGCTTTTATTTAACTTGCTTTCATATAAGATTTAAGTTCGACTTGATCTTAAAATTTTAGTTCGACATGCCCGTTATATTTAAGTTCGATTTGCTAGTAAGATAATAACTCGACTTACTTTTAAGAGTTAAGCTCAAAATGCTTTTAAAATATAATTCGCATTGCTTTAAGATTAAAGTTCGATATGCTCGTAAGATTTTAGTTCGCCTTGGTCGTAAGATTTTAGTTTAATATGTCGGTAATATTTAAGTTAGACCTGCTCGTAAGAATTTAGTTCGACTTGCTTGCTTGTACGATTAAGCTCGACGCGAGCGGTAATTAACCCTACAGATATATTTTATGTATTTTACGTATTTCATGTATGTAATAAAAATAATAATAATAAAACTTTTCATAGCGCCATATGTAACAAATGTATTGCTTTAAGGCGTTTTACATAAAATGGCAATAAAACATAGAACGGATAACTTTAAAATGCAAAATTTAGCCTGATATTGAGAACTGTTTTACAACAAATAAAAAACAAATGTTTTTTAAAGAAATTTAGTAAGAAAATCACAAGATAAATAAATCTAATAAGTTAATTAAAACCTAAGCTAAATAAATAGGTTTTTCGATGTCTTTTAAACATTGGACGGCTTAGGCGTGACAAATGTACACTGGAAGACTGTTCCATAAATTGGCAGCAAAATAGCTAAACTATGTTCCAGTGCACACCCTCAGAAAATTGAGCAGCTGCTTCTATCGGATCGTAAAGTAAGGTTGATTTTCGAATATCAATAAGTTGCTGTAGATACTCCGGACCAAATCCATACAATGCTAGGTATATACCGGAATTCTACTGGAAGCCAATGCAAGTCAGCCAAAACTAGAGTTTTGTTATCTTTTTTCCCTTTCTTTGTTATGAGTCGAGCTGCAGTATTTTGAATTTTCTGTAATCTATCCATAAAGCTTTGTTTATAACAAAAAGTGGACCATTGTTGTAGTCGAGTCTTTATGTTACCAAGAAGTTTACAAGTGTCTTACAAGCATCTGCACAAACAGTAGCATCTGTTGAATCGCTCGGTGGAAACGTCATATGGTCGAAATCCTTGGAAACCACAGATTTCGGTCACGCCAGAAAATGGAGAAGCTGCATTCAACCGACCCACTATCAATAGCCCTAAATTTATCTTGTCTAGGAAAATTCACCTACACTGGAAAAATTACTCCAGACCCCACCCTTTATTTAATGTATTCAAATATTAAATAGACAAAAATTATGCCCTTTGCTTCTGTTCATGCTTTAAATTTGCAAATTACGTTTTTTATGAGGAATTAAGCAACATATTTTATATAAGATTAGCTTTGGATTATTTTAGAGCAAATGACAAAAACATTTAGAATTTGTTCTGTTGATTCTGCATGAATCAGTGATACGATTCAATGACAAGAAGCTTATACATGTGTATTACTGGGGGGGGGGGGGTATTTACAACTGCTTCTATTCCTAATCCACAAATAAAAGTTTGTGCTTTCCAACAATTATGCTTGTCGCATTATCCGTGACTGAAGCTGTAGTTATTTGGTGAAATTCTAATGGACTGAATTTAGAATGTTTCTGCCTCTGGATCTTTAAACCTGAACTTAACGTCTCTACCTTTTTATTGAATATAGTATCAGCAAAAAAATTACCCTAGTTTATGAGATGGCTCTTGAATAAAAACATGGTTGGGTTTAAATGTCTGTCTACAATACTTAATACCATAGAAAATTGCCACTGTGAAATATGACCTTCAATTGGCTAGATTTTTGTATATTAAACAGCTGGAACTAATGGAATCATCTCCATAAAATAAATACCTTCTGGTTTCATAGTTAATTGGCTACATCTAGGAAAAAAACAACAAAAAAAGTCTTCAGTCTTACCTTTATAATTCCTATACTGCCTGTATAATCAGAGTTGTGATACTTATGTGTACTTGAAGTGACCTACACTAGACCTTGAAAATAGTAAAAATCAGTAAACCTTTGAAGAAATACAGATATTCCCACAGCCTGGGATATTCCCACAGCCTGGGATATTCTATTGTCATGATGGGCTCAGATGCAGCCCTCCCTGCATAATACACTCTTCTAACAAAGACCCTATCCAATTTTTCCCCACAGAAATTCAATCTTTCAACCTGAGAATCAGACACTAACTATCTTAAAATTAAATTCTCTTTGGCATATGAGATCTGAATTAATATTTCCAAAGTTATAATAGTAATATTGCAAGCGAGTGTTTCAGTCTTCTTTTCTGAAGAAAATTGTTCCATGAACTTCCTAAGGCAATAAAACAATGGTCTATCGTTTTGATGAATTGATGAAAAGCAAGAAAATAACAAAAGGTCGTCGATCTCAAAGATCTATAAACAATATAAAAATGTGAGAAGGGCATAAACACGTACCCCAGGAGATTCCAGAGGTGGGATCAGAAGAATAGGAGGAGTAAGGATCTCCTGTGGACCTGTCACACCCGCCGTGAGTCCTATTTACTGATCAAGTAGGCAGGACATTCTGTAGTCAAATAAAGTATGAAATCAAAGGCCTACAAATTGGTATGCAACAATTCAGCCAAAATACGACCCAATGATAGATTATATATGCTAATATGATCATTATAACGACCATAGAGTTTACAAAATGCTGACTTTAAACGAGGTTGTTGAAATACCTTAACTTCAATTTATTAATGAGTAGCATACCTTAGATTAAAAAGAGGCCCAAGGGCCTTAACGGTCACCTGAGTACAATACAACAATTTAGAGGATCCATACACTGATAAATGAAGCTTTGTTGCCCAAAAGCAAGAAAAATAGTATGATAAGCATCAACAAAATAATTGGTATAGAATCTATCTGTCCCCCATTTATCACTATTACCATGCAGACTATTAACAAAATGTCTTTTTTAACCCCATATTATGACTTCTCACATTGGTCTCTCTTGGCCTTTGAAGAACATTAAAAAAATAAGTTATTTTTGCCTCACTTTTATTCATCTATTATTTCGAAGTCTACCTGATCATTAAAACGTACTTTTAAAAGTACTTTTTGTATTATACAATAAATATTCTTGCATAATTCTCTTATTCTATTAACCTTTCAAATACATTATTTACAGTGATTAATTATCAAAGGTGAATGGCAAAGGGGAATAACTTTGCTCAGCAGAATACAAGTTCATAGAGCCCTGGCCAGGACCAGAATACTTGACTAAATAATCCAGGTGTTCAAAATTCTGGTAAAAATACCCTTGCATATTAAAACTTTTACTCTGTTTGCCTCGAATATGCCCAGAAGAATACAAGATTTTCAAAGAAATGCATGTTCACTATGATATTAAATAAATAAAGCCCCCCTCCCCCTTTACACAAGAAAATCTTACCCAGGGGTCATGAACTAATAATTCTGGAAGAAGCACTTTGCTCATCATAACTATACACTTGTTTCTTTGCTTTATTACCAGTAGTAGAAAAAATATTTTGAAAGAAATTATGCATTTTCACTATAAAATCAATAGAGCCCCCCCCCCCCCCTACAGAAGAACCCCTGACCCAGGGGCCATGAATTGCACAATTTTGGAAGAAGCATTCTTCCTGATCATAACCATGCACTTCCTTTGTTTGAACAATACCATGGAACAGAGAAGGAGATTTCGAAAGATTTTATGCATTTTCCTTATATATCAATAGAGCCCCGACCTAACACACCAGAACCCTTCATCCAGGGTCCACAAATTCACAATTTCTGAGTAGGCAGCCATGTTCATCATAACTATGTACTTAGTTTATTTAATATCCAGGAGATAGAAGATTTTCAAAGAAATAATGCATTTTCACTATATATATATATCAATTGAGCCCCACCTGACACCAGAGCCCCTGACCCAGGGGCCATGAAATTCACAATTTTGGAAGAGGAAACCATGCTCATCATAACTATGCACTAAATTAGTTTATTTAATACCCAGGAGTAGAGAAGAAGATTTTCAAAGAATTAATGCAAATAATCAAGAGAGCCCCCCCCCCCAACACCTGAACCCCTGACCCAGGGGCCATGAAATTCACAATTTCTGAAAAGGCAGCCATGTTCATCATATCTATGTTCTTAGTTAGTTTATTTAATATCCAGGAGCAGAGAAGAAGATTTTCAAGGTATTAATGCATTTTCACTATATAGTCAAAAGAGCCCCCCCCCCCCTTACACCAGAACCCCTGACCCTGGGGCCATGAAATTCACAATTTCTGAAGAGGCATTCTTGCTCATCATAACTATGTACTTAGTTACTTTATTTAATACCAAGGAGCAGAGAAGAAGATTTTCAAAGAATTAATGCATTTTCACTATATAGTCAATAGAGCCACCCCCTCCCTCCCCCCCCCCCCCAACACCAGAACCTTGACCCTGGGGCCATGAAATTCACAATTTTGGAAGAGGCGCTCTTGCTCATCGTAACTATGTACTTTGTTACTTTATTTGATACCCAGAAGCAGAGAAGAAGATTTTAAAAGAATTAATGCGTTTTCACTATATAATCAATAGAGCCCC